CTTGACTTTTTTCTGGAATGTTAAAAGGGAGGTGGCTGATCTAATATCTATAGGGAAGGCGTTCCACAGCCGAGGGGCCACCACCGAGAAGGCCCTGTCTCTCGTCTCCACCAAACATACTTGTGACTAAGATAGTAACCAGAGCAGGGCCTCCTCAGACGATCTTGAGGTCCTAGATGGTTCATAAGTGGAGATGCATTCAGACATGTAAGTTGGGCCACAGAATGACTGGCCATTTTATTGTTCCTTCTAGATATGGGTGCTCTTATACTGGAAGTCTTGACCAAATCAGATCGCCTTCCAATCGGCCGGGTTCAAATCAGTGGGCTAGCACAGCTCTCTCCTAGCCACCCAATCAGTGGGTTTTTCACCATTGTTTCACCAACATCTGAAAAGATGGGAGAATTGCAGGTATTTAAAAACTTTTGCTGCTTTTTCTTAGTTGCAGGGATATGCTCAATGCTCAGAATATATTGTGATGGTAGTACCTCACATTTAATTCAGGATCTAGGAGAAGAAAAGGTATGTGGCAGTCACATATAAGAGATGTTATACACAGTGGCCTTTAATGTGAACTACAAATCACCTGTGCAAATACATGTGCCATCAGTTCAGAAGCTTCAAGCAAGCCAGCACACAGCTGTGTCTATCTTATGCTGTCTGCAATAGGGGGATAATATTACTGACCTATACCAAAGGCTATCCTGTCCAACCCCAATCTGTCATGCAGGAAAAGCACGTTAAAACACTCCTGACAGATGGGCATCCAGCCTCTGCTTAAAAGCCTCCAATGAAGGAGCCTCCACCAGACTTGGAGACAGAGTTCCACTTTTGACCAGCTCTTACGGCCAGGAAGTTCTTCCTAATGTCCAAGTGGAATTCCCTTTCCTGTCATTTGAACCTATTCCTCTGAGTCCTAGTCTCCAAGGAGGTAGAAAACTAGCCTGTTTCCTCTTCATTGTGACATCCTTTCAGATATTTAAACTTCTCTGATGTCTCGTTTCAACCTTCTTTTCTGCAGGCTAAATATTCCAAGCTCTGTAAGCCGTTCCCCGTTGGGCATAGTTTCCAGACCTTTGGTTATTTTAGTCACCTTCCTCTGGGTTGTTGTAAGGGTCCCTGGAAAGATCATATCCCACTCAGAAAATATGCTATTTTATTTATTATTTATTTACATTATTTCTATCCCGCCCATATCAGCCCGAAGGCGACTCAGGGCGGCTATATGAATATTAAATATTCCATGTTCTCCTCTTGTAGGTATCAGTCGTTCTGGAACCTCTGTCTGAAACCTATGACAGCAGCAGCTCCATCCCAAACACAGACGTGAGCTTCAGTGCTGGATTGCCAGCCTCAGGGGCCAAAGAGGCACTGGAGGCTAGCCAATTTCTTGCCCCACCACCCCACCATAGACCACTGAGCGCAAATGTCATTGGAAGGGAATCTTTGAGCAGTAGTCGGGCTTCTACACCAAGGTGAGGTTTTTGTTTCCTCCTTATATGCATGTAAGTTGCTAAGAGGTTGCCAATCACTCTTGCTTTTGCGGGGTTCAGGAGAACATTTGTGTAGAACAGTGGTTCTCAACCTGTGGGTCCCCAGGTGTTTTGGCCTACAACTCCCAGAAATCCCAGCCAGTTTACCAGCTGTTAGGATTTCTGGGAGTCGAAGGCTAAAAACATCTGGGGGCCCCAGGTTGAGAACCACTGGTGTAGAAGGTTGGTCTGTGGTGGATGACTTGTAGCATTGCTTTAACAGAATGTTTTTCAGCTCCCTTCTTTTACTTGTATATTTTACTCTTACGTCCATATTATAGTATAATGAAAAGAGCCTGTTCTGCCCCCACGCTGTCTTAACTACTTGAAAGGTGAACTGGCTGCACAGGGAACAGAGACTATATAGTTGACTCAAACAAGAGTTTATTAACTGACAAGAATTTTAGACTTTCCTCCTGAGTCTCACTACTAAGTCTTTATGAGGAGAGGTAAAGTCTTTGAGGAAAAGGAAAAGGAAGAGGGGCCGACCAAGGGCAAGATGGATGGATGGCATCCTTGAAGTGACTGGACTGACCTTGAAGGAGCTGGGGGTGGTGACGGCCGACAGGGAGCTCTGGCGTAGGCTGGTCCATGAGGTCACGAAGAGTCAGAGACGACTGAACGAATGAACAACAACAAAGTCTTTGAGAGATAGACACAGTTCAAGATAAACGGAGGCTCTTGAATTTTTATTTCTTCTTATTGTCTCTTTCTTGTATGGTGTTCAACTATCTCTAAGATGGTCTCAATATTTAACACTGCCTACTCTTTTGTTTGTGCTACCCTATGAGTGGGGTGAGGGAGCTAGAGCAATTAGGCATTTTGCTAGTAAAGCTTAAAGATCTATGCTTTTTTAAAAAATGTTGGGATCGTTGGTAAGGCAGGCTTATCTGTTTTCTCCTTTCCTCTCTGATTTGCTGTTCAACCATACTCACAAAAGGACTCTGAGGCTGCTGCTATTTGCAGTTGGGTGCATACAGCAGTAAGATCAGCTACAGCAGAATTCTCTTCTATCTCAGTTCAAGCTTTATGTTTTATCTTTCACTGTGCCAGTGCAGCTGAATATTAAAAGTCTGTATTCCTCCAGTCTTCTTTCACCATTCTGCCAAAAGAAAAAAATCCAGCTAGACAACATTTAATAGCCTTGCAGCTTCAAAGCCTTGCTCCTTCCTGCCTGTGGGAATCATTTGTTGGGAGAGGTTAACTGTCCCTGATTGTTTCCTGTCTGAAATTCCCCAGTATTTTCAGTATTGCTCTTTATTTACTGTCCTTATTTTAGAGGGTTTTTTTAAAATACTGGTAGCCAGATTTTGTTCATTTTCATGTTTTCCTCCTTTCTGTTGAAATTGTCTACCTGCTTCTTGTGGATTTCAACGGCTTCTCTGTGTAGTTCGATATGGTAGTTGTTGGATTCATCCAACATTTCTGTGTTCTCAATTAATATTCTGTGTCCAGGTTGGTTCATCAGGTGGTCTGCCATGGTTGACTTCTCTGGTTGAAATAGTCTGCAGTGCCTTTCATGTTCCTTGGTTCGTGTTTGGGCAATGCTGCTGCGTTTGGTGGTCCCTATGGAGACTTGTCCACAGCTGTATTGCATACGGTAGACTCCTGCAGAAATTAGAGGATCCTTCTTGTCCTTTACTGAACATAGCATTTGTTGGATTTTCTTAGTGGGTCTGCAGATTGTTTGTATGTTACGTTTCTCCATCAGCTTCCCATTGTGGTCGGTGGTTCCCTCGATGTATGGCAAGAACACTTTTCCTCTGGGTGGATCTTTGTCTTTACTCTCTGTGTACAGTGCCTGTAATGGGCTTGTGATTTTATCCTAATCATGGTTAAGGCAGTGCCTGTGGCAATCTTTTGTTGAGAGGTGATTAGATGTCCCAGATTGTTTCCTCTCTGTTGTTTTGCTGTTGTAATTTTAGAGGAAACAATCAGGGTTACTCCTCAAATACTCAGGTTTTGTTTCATATCAAGTCACTGTAATATCGCTATTACTTCTTTGTTTGCTTTTTGCAGTCTTACAGCAGCAAGTCTCATGTCACCAATAGGAAACACACATGCATGTACTGCAGTCAGACACACACACACTCACAGACATTATACAGTAGCCTGTTGCTGCTATCGAGAGAGAGAGAAACACAGACACTCAGTTCTTTTGGTTACTCCTCAAATACTCAGGTTTTGTTTCATATCAAGTCACTGTAATATCCCTATTTTGGATGCATGTCTGCAACAGCAGCAGGAGCTCAGTGGATATCAGCCTTCACCTAAACTTCCTGTGGGTGCTTTTGTTTTGGAATAGGGGAAAGGACCATTTATACTTTCAGGAGAACTCTGAGAACCTTGGGCCGCATCACCACCTCGTCGTAGGACAGAATGATATAATGAGAGGAAACAATCCCAAGCAGCATGGATTGCTTCCCAGCAGCTCCGATCATGAGGCTCAAATGAGGCTAGCTGGAAGAAGCCCAAAGCCTGTTCGTGTTCTTTCCTCAAACAATGCAGCTGCAAAAGATCTCATTTCAGGTATGCATGGCAGCTCTTGGGTTTCATTGAAGGATATAATATTTTTAATGTTAATAATGTTATTACTTTATTTTTTGCTCTATAGCAGGAGTTGGAAACTACCCAAGGCAGGGGTTGGGCTATAAACACCCCTCGCCGGACCTTCAAAAGCCGGCCACCCAGTTTTTAAAAGACCCTTTCAAAACAAATATTTTTATTCATAATGCATCCCCACATCTTGAGGAAAGATTTCATCATATGTTTTGGAAATCCTAGGTTATTTTAGGCCCATGAGATGTCAGGTTTTGAAGCAGAATAGAAACTAGTGTATTGAGGTGTTGTGTAGTTTCCGGTATGTATGGCTATGTACTAGCAGCATTTCCTCCTGACATTTTGCCTTCATCTGTGGCTGGCACCTTCAGAGGAACTACTTAATTTCTTGATTTTAAAAGACCATGTGCACAAGGGAAGAAGGATACTTTAAACAAAACAAACAAAACAGAAAATTTAAAAAATGGGGGAATAGGAGCTGCTGGGAGTTTCAGAAATGACTTTGTGAGCCTTGCGTTCCCAAGTCTTATTCTATAGGAATGATCAATGAACACATTGTCAGAGTGCGACAGAAGCTTTGAAGCTTAGAAGAATGGACACTTTGAGACTTCAGTAAAAGCAAACGTATAGCTTTACTGAGTAGAGCAAATATATAGCACACACTCGCACCCAACCAAAAAGGCAGAAACAAGACAAAAGCACCGAAGTAAGAAGGACGAACGGAATCTTATCTCTGGATCCTCCCTACGCGTTCCAGGCACACTCAGGGTCACAACTTCACAGTTCATTAGAGGCTTGACTGATTAACCCTTTCAGAGTCAATACACTCTCTGCTAATGCAATCAGGTTGCATTCACAGGCATTACACAAAATTACATTTAAACATTCACATTACACTAATCTTACATTAACACACATTACCTCTAAACTGCAGTTCTTAGTTTTCCCTTTATGTTTGGAGTCTACACTTCTTCCTTTTCCCAACAGCTCTTTTGGATCGGGGCAGCCGGCTCCGAGACGCCATGGTTGTGTCTGCAATGAAATCCAGTCCTGACTCTGGTGTCGAACTGCACGAGGCTCACCCTGCCATAACGCGAGAGGTTCACAGGCTAGCTGGAAAGTAAGTTTCTGTTGTCGTGACCCAAGAATGACAGTTTTCAACATGTCTTAGAATCACAGAATCAAAGAGTTGGAAGAGACCTCATGGGCCATCCAGTCCAACCCCATTCTGCCAAGAAGCAGGAACATTGCATTCAAATCACCCCTGACAGGTGGCCATCCAGCCTCTGTTTAAAAGCTTCCAAAGAAGGAGCCTCCACCACACTCCGGGGCAGAGAGTTCCACTGCTGAACGGCTCTCACAGTCAGGAAGTTCTTCCTCATGTTCAGAGGGAATCTCCTCTCTTGTAGTTTGAAGCCATTGTCTTCTCAAAGCAGTGTTGATAAAATCATTTTTTTCTCAGATTGACTGGTACTAGCATTTCATAAAGAGATTAGGTAACTGTTAACATTACACCAAGGCAGGCTAGAAATATGTAAGCCTCTGGGTGTTGTGTAGTTTTCAGGCTGTATTGAACTTGACAGGGGGAGTGTGACCTTGTTGGTTCTCCTGAACATCTCAGCGGCTTTCGGTGCCATCGATCATGGTATCCTTCTGGGACAGCTCTCCGGAATGGGTCTTGGGGGTACTGCATTGCAGTGGCTCCAGTCCTTTCTGGAGGGCCACACCCAGTTGGTGAAGCTGGGAGATACCTGCTCAGACCCCTGGCCTTTGACCTGTGGGGTCCCGCAAGGTTCTATTCTTTCCCCCATGCTCTTTAATATCTACATGAAACCGCTGGGCAAGGTCATCCGGAGTTTTGGAATTTGTTGCCATCTCTATGCAGATGACACGTAACTCTACTACTCCTTTCCACCAACATCCAAGGAAGTCCCTTGGGTCCTGGTCCAGTGCCTGGCCACTGTGATGGGCTGAATGAGGGCTAACAGGTTGAAATTGAATACTGACAAGACAGAGGTCCTCCAGGTCAGTCGCTCGGCCGAACGGGGTATAGGATGGCTACCTGTTTTTGACAGGGTTACACTCACCCTGAAGACACATGTCTTCAGTCCAGGGATCCTCCTGGATTCAGCGCCGTCGCTTGATGCGCAGATGTCGGCGGTGGCCAGGAGGGCCTTTGCACAGTTAAGACTTGTGCGCCAACTGCGACCGTACCTCGTGAAGTCTGATTTCACCATGATGGTCCACGCCTTAGTTACCTCAAGATTAGACTGCTATTATGCACTCTACATAGGGCTGCCCTTGAAGACGGTTCGGAAACTACCGTCAACTTCGGTGCAAAGATCGGCGACCAGATTGTTAACTGGAGAAAGTTACAGAGAGCGGTCAACCCTCCTGTTTAAACAGCTCCACTGGCTGCCAGTAAGTTTCCAGTCCCAATACAAGGTGCAGGTTATCACCTATAAAGCTCTAAACGGTTCAGGACCTGCCTATCTGTGCGACTGCCTCCTCCCTTACGAGCCCATGCGGTCCGTAAGATGTTCCGGGGATGCCCTTCTCTCGCTCCTGCCTCCGTCTCAGTCCTGGTGAATGTGTTAATCACTCCCTTAATGACGAAGGCATTGGTGTCTTGCAAAACTGTTCGACCCTCCTACCGTCCCCTGATTCATCTTTATTGGGATTTTTTTATCCAGGAGCATTAAAAATCCGAATGCTGGCTTTGCTGTGGAAGATCCCCTCCATCAACAACCAGACTACTCAGAATTTGATTTGGAAGTTGAAGACAGAGCAGTCCAGCTCTTGTTGGGCAGGTAAAATACAATATGTAGCTGCTGCAACTGTTCTGAAAGATATTTGGGGGACTCTCTAACTCCTTTGCTCCTTGTACATGTAAATTATTTTAGAGATCCATTTGTTTTAAGGTCGAAAGTGGTGCCTTCAGAGGATAACCTTTTGTTCATATCCGCATCTTTTCTGCCACCCTTCCTCCTCAGCTCCCACAATTAATCTGGTTCAATACATCTATATAAATAAAAATGTAATGTTAGTTTGTGGGATTAACATAACCCAAAAACCACTGGACGAATGGACACCAAATTTGGACACAAGACACCCATCAGGCCAACGAGTGACCATCACTCTGAAAAACACTGGAAAACACAGCAGAAGAGACTTAAAAAGCCAAAAAATTTAAAAAAACCTATTAAAACGCATACACAAAACCACATATATATACGCAAACACACATATATACACATATACACAAATATGTACACACATTTATTTATTTATTTAGCAATTTTGTATACCGGTCTTCTCCCCTCTATCGGGGGACTCGGGCCGGTTTCCAACAATAAAATCACAAAACAATCATTAAAAACATCATGTAACATATTCAATTAAAACGTTATAACAGTGAAATGCAATCCCATAATAACAATGGTCAGTCATCATAGTGAATTCGTTGTCCATCATTCATCGTCATCTATCCGATCACAGAAATATTGATTCACTCGTCGAAAGCCAAACCCCATAGCCAGGTTTTCACCCGTTTTCTGAACGACAGAATGGAGGGGGCAGTTCTGATCTCCAGTGGGAGAGAGTTCCAGAGTCGAGGGGCCACCACCGAGAAGGCCCTGTCCCTCGTCCCCACCAGACGCGCCTGAGAGGCCGGTGGGACCGAGAGCAGGGCCCCTCCAGACGATCTTAACAACCTAGATGGTTCATAGGGGAGAATACGTTCGGACAGGTAAACTGGGCCGGAGTCGTTTAGGGCTTTATAGGTTAACACCAGCACTTTGAATTGTGCTCGGAAGCTAATTGGCAGCCAGTGGAGCTGGTGCAACAGAGGAGTAGTATGCTCCCTGTACCCTGCTCGTGTTAGCATTCTGGCTGCCGCACGTTGGACTAGTTGTAGCTTCCGGGCAGTCTTCAGAGGCAACCCCATGTAGAGAGCGTTGCAGTAATCTAAACGGGATGTAACCAAAGCGTGGACCACTGTGGCCAAGTCAGACTTCCCAAGGTACGGGCGCAGCTGGCGCACAAGTTTTAATTGTGCAAAAGTTCCCCTGACCACCCTGAAACCTGGGGCTCCAGGCTCAGCGATGAGTCCAGAGTCACTCCCAGGATGCGAACCTGCGCCTTCAGGGGGAGTGTAACCCCATCCAGCACAGGCTGTAACCCTATGCCCTGTTCAGCCTTTCGACTGACCAGGAGTACCTCTGTCTTGTCTGGATTTAGTTTCAATAAAAACACACACAAAATGCATATACACAGACTGGGCCACAGCAACACGTGGCAGGGGACGGCTAATCTATATAAATAAAAATGTAATGTTCGTTTGTGGGACTAACAGAACTCAAAAACCACTGGATGAATTGACACCAAATTTGGACACGAGACACCTAACAACCCAATGTATGTCCTTCACTAAAAAATTGATTTTGTCATTTGGGAGTTGTAGTTGCTGGGATTTATAGTTCACCTACAATCAAAGAGCATTCTGAACCCCACCAACGATGGAATTGAACCAAACTTGGCACACAGTTCTCCCATGACCAACAGAAAATCCTGGAAGGGTTTGGTGGGCAGTGTCCTTTGGTTTTGGAGTTGTAGTTCACCTACATCCAGAGATCACTGTGGACTCAAACAATGATGGATCTGGACCAAACTCTACATGAATACTCAATATGCCCAAATGTGAACACTGGTGGAGTTTGGGGAAAATAGAATCTTGACATTTGGGAGTTGTAGTTGCTGGGATTTATAGTTCACCTACAATCACAGAGCATTCTGAACCCCACCAATGATAGAATTGGGCCAAACCTCCCACACAGAACCCCCATGTCGGCCACAGCAACGCGTGGCAGGGGATGGCTAGTGATTAATAAGAGGCAATATTCTACAGAGTTCAATGAGGCTTGAATATTTGGTATTCTCCCATGTTAATATTCCCATGGGCCCTTGGTATCTGCTGGGATTTGGTTCGAGCATCCCCATGGATATCAAAATTCATGGATGTTGAAGTCCCATTATATACAAAAATGATATACTGAAATGGTTTATATAAAATGGCAAAAGATATGTTTTAGGGATTTTTCAAAGTAATATTTTGAAGCTGTGGATACAGAATCCATGGATACGGAGTGCTGACTGTATATAGCAAAAGTAAAAACAGTAAGAATTCTGGAATCTACAGCAGCATCAACATATTTCAGAATGTGCTCTTTGTATGCATGCAGCAGGTGTATTTGTGCCTGTATTACAGGCATGGGCAAACTTTATCCCTCCAGGTGTTTTGGACTTCAACTCCCACAATTCCTAACAGCCAGTAGGCTGTTAGGAATTGTGGGAGTTGGAGTCCAAAACACCTGGAGGAACAAAGTTTACCTGTGCCTGCCTATAATTTGCACACATACAACTTGTTTGCTATGAGTTTTCTGGGCTGTATGGCCATGTTCCAGAAGCATTATCTCATGGCATTTCACCCACATCTATGGCAAGAATCCTCAGAGGTTGAAAAGTCTGTTGGTACTTGGCAAGTGAGTTTTCTATATCTGTGGAATGATGTCCAGGATGGGAGAAAGAACTCTTGTCTGTTGGAGGCAAGTGTTAATGTTGCAATTGAAGAAGAAGAAGAACTTTATTTTTCTACTCTGCTTCCATCTCCCCAAAGGGACTCGAGGCAGCTTACATGGGGCCCAAGCCCAGGCAGAATACAATTTAAATAAAGCAATAACAATTAAAACAGCATAAAACAGCATAAAACAACATAACAAAAGTAGCTAGCAACAACAATAACAGCAGACTAATTTTGGCCTCCTTAAATGGCATTGCAGCTTCAAAACCTGGCTGCTTTTTGCCTGGGGGAATCCTTTGTTGGGAAGCGTTAACTGGCCCTGATTGTTTTCTTTCTTTGCTCGTAGTTCTGATTTATCTTCTGTGCGTCTTTTGGATGGAACACACTCACCTCTGGAGTCTCTCTCTCTCCGGAGTGAGATTTGTGACAGCGAGCTCAATGACCCCCAATATGACCAGAGTCTCTTGGAGAATTTGTTCTATACAGCTCAGGTATGGGAGTGTATGTTTGGGCATGTTCCTATATTAATGTTTTCAGTGAATCAAGCACATTACTTGTAGGTCCTGTTTACACGAGCCACTTACCTAGAGAGGAAGTGGACGAACACAGAGAGTGCTCACTAATGCTTCCTCTTCATCTTGGAAAGAAGTGACAAGTGGAGTGCCGCAGGGTTCCGTCCTGGGCCCGGTCCTGTTCAACATCTTTATTAATGACTTAGATGAAGGGCTAGAAGGCAGGATCATCAAGTTTGCAGACGACACCAAATTGGGAGGGATAGCCAATAGTCCAGAGGACAGGAGCAGAATTCAAAACGATCTTGACAGATTAGAGAGATGGGCCAAAACTAACAAAATGAAGTTCAACAGTGACAAATGTAAGATACTCCACTTTGGCAGAAAAAATGAAATGCAAAGATACAGAATGGGTGACGCCTGGCTCGAGAGCAGTACGTGTGAAAAAGATCTTGGAGTCCTCGTGGACAACAAGTTAAACATGAGCCAACAATGTGATGTGGCGGCAAAAAAAGCCAATGGGATTTTGGCCTGCATCAATAGGAGCATAGTGTCTAGATTTAAGGAAGTAATGCTACCCCTCTATTCTGCTTTGGTTAGACCACATCTGGAATATTGTGTCCAATTCTGGGCACCACAATTCAAGAGAGATATTGACAAGCTGGAATGTGTCCAGAGGAGGGCGACTAAAATGATCAAGGGTCTGGAGAACAAGCCCTATGAGGAGCGGCTTAAGGAGCTGGGCATGTTTAGCCTGAAGAAGAGAAGGCTGAGAGGAGATATGAGCCATGTATAAATATGTGAGAGGAAGCCACAGGAGGAGGGAGCAAGCTTGTTTTCTGCTTCCCTGGAGACTAGGACGCAATGAAGAAATGGCTTCAAACTACAAGAGAGGAGATTCCATCTGAACATGAGGAAGAACTTCCTGACTGTGAGAGCTGTTCAGCAGTGGAACTTTCTGCCCTGGAGTGTGGTGGAGGCTCCTTCTTTGGAGGCTTTTAAACAAAGGCCATCTGTCGGTGGTGTTTTCAATGTAATTTTCCTGCTTCTTGGCAGGGGGTTGGACTGGATGGCCCATGAGGTCTCTTCCAACTCTTTGATTCTATGATTCTATATAGTTCTGTAGTGATGAGAAACATGGTGAAATTGTTAGGTATTGATGTTACTCCAGGCTCCAAGCGCAACAGGAGTTGGGTGTCGTCCGCATATTGATAGCAGTCCAGGCCGAATCTCCGAGCCAAACTGGCAAGGGGTCTAACGTAGATGTTGAAAAGAAGAGGGGAGAGAATTGCACCTTGGGGTACCCCGCATAGGAGGGGGGAACTTTCGGAGACTTGGTCCATATATTCCACGCACTGACTCCGCTTTCGGAGGAATGATTGAACCAATTGAGGGCCTGACCGCGAACTCCGGACATGGCGAGACGGTGGATCATTAAATCGTAGTCAACGGTGTCAAACACTGCGGTAAGATCGAGAAGTACCAGAAGCGCCGATCCGCCGCTATCAGACTGACGACGAAGTTCATCTGTAATAGCAACCAGGACCGTCTCCGTCCCATGACCCAGGCGAAAACCTGACTGGAAAGGGTCCAGGCCAGCTGTTAGGAATTGTGGGAATTGAAGTCCAAAACACCTGGAGGAAGGCCAAAGTTTGCCCATGCCTGCAGTAGAGTCATGCTGGAAGATGAAGACATTCCTCAGGTTTAAAAAGCAGCAATTTCTTTATTTGCAGTTTTTGTTTACTTTGATAAAGGACTTGTGTCTCTGTAAATAATAGTGGACTGTTGTTGTTGTTCATTCGTTCAGTCGTCTCCGACTCTTCGTGACCTCATGGACCAGCCTACGCCAGAGCTCCCTGTCGGCCGTTACCACCCCCAGCTCCCTCAAGGTCAGTCCAGTCACTTCAAGGATGCCATCCATCCATCTTGCCCTTGGTCGGCCCCTCTTCCTTTTGCCTTCCACTTTCCCCAGCATAATTGTCTTCTCTAGGTTTTCCTGTCTCCTCATGATGTGGCCAAAGTACTTCAACTTTGTCTCTAGTATCTTTCCCTCCAGTGAGCAGTCGGGCTTTATTTCCTGGAGGATGGACAGGTTGGATCTTCTCGCAGTCCAAGGCACTCTCAGCACTTTCCTCCAACACCACAGCTCAAAAGCATCTATCTTCCTTCGCTCAGCCTTCCCTAAGGTCCAGCTCTCACATCCGTAGGTTACTACAGGGAATACCATGGCTTTGACTAGGCAATGGATCTTTGTTGCCAGTGTGATGTCTCTACTCTTTACTATTTTATCGAGACTGGACATTGCTCTCCTCCCAAGAAGGAAGCGTCTTCTGATTTCCTGGCCACAGTCTGCATCTGCAGTCATCTTTGCACCTAGAAATACAAAGTCTGTCACGGCCTCCACGATTTCTCCCTCTATTTTCCAGTTGTCAATCATTCTTGTTGCCATAATCTTGGTTTTTTTGACGTTTAGCTGCAACCCGGCTTTTGCGCTTTCTTCTTTCACCTTGATTAGAAGGCTCCTCAGCTCCTCCTCGCTTTCGGCCATCGGAGTGGTGTCATCTGCATATCTGAGGTTGTTAATGTTTCTTCCAGCAATTTTCACCCCAGCTTTGCATTCATCCAGCCCCGCACATCGCATGATGTGTTCTGCATACAAGTTAAAAAGGTTGGGTGAGAGTCATGGTGGACTGCCTGGAAAGTAATTTTTTTAATGTTCTCTGTCTTTCTTTAGAAGTCAGACAGCAGTTTAAGTGATTTTCCCAGTGAAGAGGAGGGCGCTGTTGCTTCTGGAAAACAAAAGCAATCTCGGAAAGGGCGGTCCCAGAAGTCATCCAAGTCTAGCCCTTCAGATCCAAAAAAGAAGAAAAAAGCCAGGTAAAACTGTTGGTTTGGGCTGTATTTATATAGCACTACAGAACATTTTGCAATGTGCTTCTGTTTGAGTGCCTGGCTTAGTAGAAGGCTGTGTTAACACACGGTTGCTCCCCCTCAAAAAAAAAAAAAAAAAAAAAAAAAAAAAAAAAAAAAAAAAAAAAAAAACAAAAAAAAAAAAAAAAAAAAAAAAAAAAAAAAAAAAAAAAAAAAAAAAAATCCTCCTCAACGGTTTTTGTCCCCAGAGTATATTTCCCCACCTGTATGAAGGTCTATATTTATGACCCAGTTCCTTTATGAGTTTCTCCCCCACAAACAATCTGCTCCATTCCTATCTCAGCCTGATTTTAGTATTTTTAGTATTTTAGTATTTATCTTGCACATGCAGCCCACACATTGTTATGTTATTTTATTTTACTGTGTATGATTTTGCTTATCGTTTTTGTACTCACGTTGTGTGTATTTTACTGTGTTGTTATTGTGGTTTGGTTTCACTTTATTGTAATATGCTGTTGGGCTTGGCCTCATGTAAGCCGCCTCAAGTCCCCATTGGGGAATTAATTAGGCAATCCCTCGTTGGACAAGTAGGATAGTCTTCCATGATCAGTATTCTTGTGGATCCGTAGGTGACTGTGGAGCCGTATTCTTGACCTGCATCTTCTCCCACAGTGAGGGCATTGGTTTCCAGACGGAAGGCGGTCTCGGTCGGGGTTCGCTTGATGCGCCTTTCTCTTGGCACGTTTCTCTCTTTCAACCTCCAGTCGTGCCTCTTCAAATTCTTCAGCACTGCTGGTCACAACTGACCTCCAGCTGGAGTGCTCAAGGGCCTGGGCTTCCCAGCTCTCAGTGTGTATGCCAGAGTTTTTAAGGTTGGCTTTGAGCCCGTCTTTAAATCTCTTTTCCTGTCTACCAACATTCCCTTTTCTGTTCTTGAGTTCGGAGTAGAGCAACTGTTTTGGGAGACAGTGGTCGGGCATCCAGACAACATGGCTGGTCCAACGGAGTTGATGCCGGAGGAGCATTGCTTCAGTGCTGGTGGTCTTTGCTTCTTCCAGCACGCTGACATTTCTCCGCCTGTCTTCCCAAGAGATTTGCAGGATTTTCCGGAGGCAGCGCTGATGGAATCGTTCCAGGAGTTGCAGGAGTTGCAGTCCACATTTCGCAGGCATAAAGCAGGGTTGGGTGGACAATAGCTTTATAAACAAGCACCTTGGTATCCGTACGGATGTCCCGGTCCTCAAACACTCTCTGCTTCATTCGGAAAAATGCTGCACTCGCAGAGCTCAGGCGGTGTTGTATTTCAGTGTCGATGTTGACTTTGGTGGAGAGGTGGCTGCCAAGGTAGTGGAAATGGTCAACATTTTCTAATGTTACACCATTAAGCTGTATCTCTGGCATTGGAGAGGGATTGGCCGGTGATTGCGGAACAGCACTTTGGTTTTCTCGATGTTCAGTGACAGGCCAAGCTTTGTGTATGCTTCTGCAAAGGTGTTTAGAGTGGCTTGTAGATCTTCTTCTGAATGCGCACAGACGACATTGTCATCAGCATACTGGAGTTCTATAACTCCATTCGGGAGATGGTGGCGAGGTATTAAATAAAGATTATTATTATTATTATTATTATTATTATTATTATTATTAACCATTGAGTCCTTTAGGATCCCTGACTGGTCTCTAGGCTTCTTCTAATTGCTGTGCTCTCTTCTCAGTGATAAGTTTGTTTCTCTTTTGAAATGATCAATTAATGTTGGTATTTTGGGTTTCAAACATTTGTCTTTGATCCCACATGCCACTAAAATGCATTTCCCAAGTTCTTCTCTGAATTGAGTCCAACCCTCAGAGGAAAAATACTCAATACTCTTGTTTTAGTCTCTTGTCTTGTCTTTCCTTTGTTTTTTTTCCCCCTCCCTCCAGCCATTCTCCTGCTAGACCAATTCCTCCTCATGAGACTTCCACGGAGTCAACTGAGGAAACACAACATGTCAACTTGAGTCTTGACAGGCTGGCAGTGCTGAGTCGAATCCACTTAGCAAGAATGGTAGTGGAGAGTTTAAAGATCCCTCTGGAAGACGGTGCTAGGATCACCCCAGGCAAAAGGAGTTCTGCCGGGAAGCCTCCTCGGCCGACGCTGGCAAAAAAGAGGTAAGGGGGCTTGTTTGCTTGACACAGCAAGAATCCTTTTCATCAGAAGTGCTCTGGTTTTCATAATTGATGGCATGACTTAAATGAAATAGCTATTGCTTTGGAAGCCCAGATCTGAGCAACTAGTTTGTTTCACTACCCACACTGCCACATCCGGATGGCATCGGGAAACGTGAGCAGAGCTTTGGATAAGTACAGTATTTATTCATAATAAGAGGGGCCGACCAAGGGCAAGATGGATGGATGGCATCCTTGAAGTGACTGGACTGACCTTGAAGGAGCTGGGGGTGGTGATGGCCGACAGGGAGCTCTAGCGTGGGCTGGTCCATAACGTCACGAAGAGTCGGAGACGACTGAACGAATGAACAACAACAACAGTCAGCTTCCTGTATCTAAGGACTCTGTGTTCACAGCTTGAAAACAATTTTTCTTTAAAAAATTCAAAAAGCCAACCTTGATTTCTCATTTTATATAAGGGATGCCTGTCACGTTGCCAGGGCTCTGCCTTATTTAGGTAGAGATGAATCAAACTCCCAGTTTTATCAAACAGTTTACTTGCTGGCTGTTTTAATAGACCAAAATATAAAGCATAAAGATAGCACTCAGCCTCAGAATAAACAAAAACTGATAGCAAGAGCTACACCATAGTCAAAGGGTCCAGTCGAGTGGTCAAACGGTGAGGGTTCAATAAACAAAGTCCAGGGGTCAAGGGTCTATACCATAGTCAAAAGCCAGTCCAAAGGTTTGAGGCCCCAGGGTTCCAAAATTACATGAGACAGGTCAGGATACCAAAAATCCAACAGACCTGGGGGAAAAACCAGCAGCATCCACCACCAAAATATAACAATACTTTTCTCCCGAAGATCACTTCCAAGGCTCACTCATTATATCCAGAAACACCCAGCTGCAACTTATCTCTTGCATACATCCACCCTTAATTGCTTTCACCCATGAACTCTTACTTACAGATTACTAAACCCTTTAGAACTAATACTTACATTAACCCTTCCATCACCAAGCACCATTAATTGCAGAACATATGACTATGCCATTTTGTGCCGTTGTATGTAATAGGACTTGATCATCCATAGATTTTGGTATCCACAGGGAGTCTAGGAACCAAACCTTGGCAGATACTAGAGGTGTGCAATTGGGCCAAAAGGCATGCCATTTTGGGGCCCATTTTTGGCTAACCCCTCATTTTGCTTACCGGGAAGTTACTCAAATTGGGATGGGTGTTGTCGTTATCATTCGGCAAAGATTCGACCCATTAGCTACAATGAGAAACTTTAAAGGCTCAATCCTCAGTCATTTAAGACCTCTTGCACGAACCTACCTTGGTTTTAGACCCCATTTACAACTACAAAGCTGCCAAGTTTCAAAACAATTAACCAATCCACTTATTTTTTGGAATTATTATAAGTTTTAACCATCACATTTTTAAAAATAAGACAAACTACAAGAGAGGAGATTCCATCTGAACACGAGGAAGAACTTCCTGACTGTGAGAGCCGTATAGCAGTGGAACTCTCTGCCCCAGAGTGTGGTGGAGGCTCCTTCTTTGGAAGCTTTTAAGCAGAGGCTGGATGGCCATCTGTCAGGGGTGATTTGAATGCAATTTTCCTGCTTCTTGGCAGAATGGGGTTGGACTGGATGGCCCATGAGGTCGCTTCCAACTCTTTGATTCTATGATTCTATGAGAGGGTTCTGGGAATTGCAGTCGCTGGTTGTGTCCATTCTCTCTCAGCCAATCAGAGCATGGACACAACCAGGCTTTTTATTGGCTGAGAAATGGAGAGAGAGGAAGAAACCAGCTCCCATCATGCTCTGAGAGGAACTCAGAGACTTTTCAATGCCTGTCCCATGCAAGTGCTGCTGGGATATCGAGTTCTCTCTGGAGGAGGAGCCTAGGGAACTTTCCAAAAAGGAATGAATGGACGGGATAAAAAGACGCTGCAATAAACCATCTTCTTCAGGAGCCCTGCATCAGACCCCTGCTTCCAGTATATTGCAGACTTAATGCTATCCTCTCCAGAAGCTGATACATTCATTCATTCATTTATTTACTATAATTGTATACCACCCCTCTCAGCCCGGAGGCAACTTGAGGCGGTTTACATTTGGCAATCAATGCCCCACAAGATAAAATCCAGTCAAAAACAATTACATATAGTATAAACTTTATAAAAACAGTAACAATAAACAATTAAAATCATAAAATACAGTTCTCAGCGTCTCATCATTAAAATCCTGTAGTTCCATGTGTCTCAATTAATCAGTTATACTGCATCTTTAAATGCCTGCTCGAACAGCCAGGTCTTAACTCTCTTCTGAAATGTCAGGAGGGAGGGGGCCAATCTAATGTCCCTAGGGAGGGTGTTCCATAGCCGGGGGGCCACCGCTGAGAAGGCCCTGTCTCTCATTCCCGCCAATCGGATCCAGCTCTCTTAATCCATTTTGCCACGCTTTTTGGTTCCCTCCTACCCAGTCTCTTCGGAGATTATATGAAACGGACCACTGAATATTACAAATATTTTTTGTTCAAACTGATTCGGGTCCAAGTCTAGCAGATACTACTGGCCTACATTATTTATATGTTATTCTCATGTGCCTCAGGATCAATTTTCTATCCTTGGATCTTCCAGAATCTTCTGGAAGATCCAAGGGGTTTTCTTGGCCGAATGTATTCAGAGGGAGTTTGCCCTTGCCCTCCTCCAAAGCCAAGAGTGCAACTTATGGACCAGGAGATCTTGCAGAAAAAAATTAAGAATTTGAACACAAAGAGTGAGAAACTGGAATTAAAGCAAGAAGCAATTGAAGCAAAAAAATTAGAATTCCAACTGAGAATGAGAAATATACCTGAAGAAAAAGGAGAAGATATACAGGAAAAATAACAGATATTGACTGAATTACTGGAATGGACGGAACAAGAAGTACTAACCCAGACAGACATAATATACAGAATAAATACAAATTACTCCAGAAAAAATAAAACAGCAAGAGATGTAATTGTACATTTCGTTAAAAAGACGATAAGAGACGAAATACTGAGGATAAATGGGGGGAAAATCAATCTTCTATAAAGGAGAGAAAGTAATAATTCTAAAAGAATTCCTGAACACAGTCCCAAGAAGAAGAAAGAAATATACTTTCCTTACAGAAGAATTGAAAAAGCAAAAAATCCGATTCAGGTGGGAAAAAGAAGAAGAATTAATGACCACATATAGGGAACAAAGGTACTGGATCACAAACGAAGAAAGAGCTAGAGAATTATTTAAGGAAATTAAATGGGATAAAGAAAGGGAAAGAGAAAAAGAAAGAAGGACTGTAAACAAGAATAAAAAAACAACACACAGACACTGCAGCCGGAGAGGAAACAGATATAGAAGAATATAAGAGAAAACTAAGAGGAGGGACAGGAAATATATCAAAAAAAGAGAATGAAAGGCAATCGGATGAAAACGAAGACGAAATGGAGGAGGAGGAGAAGCAAAAGAAGGAGAAGAAGACAATGAAGTAGAAGAACCAACATGTACGGAGAATTAAGAATATATTCGAATAATATAAATGGCTTGAATTCACCGAATAAAAGAAATAAAATATTTATCATTTCTTCCTTTCTTTCTACAGGACATACTTTGTGGAGTTTCACTTTCCAGTAGGCACTTTGAAGACCGGCGCAGGGCAGGGTGCCATAACAACGGAAGTCGTTCGGGTAGCTTCTAGCAAGATCTCAGGGGAAGGTAAGCCTGGGTTGGAACCTTCTCTCTTCTTCTCCCATGCTTCCTGCATCCCTTGCCATGGGAATTACCAGCAGTGGTGAGAATAATAAGGAATCCAGATTTTTGATTACAGTGTTCCCTCACTTATCGAGGTGTTAGGTTCCAGGACCACCTGCAAAAAGTGAAAATCCGTGAAGTAGGGACGCTTTCTATATAAATAAAAATGTAATGTTCGTTTGTGGTATTCACAGAACTCAAAACCCACTGGACGAATTGACACCAAATTTGGACACAATACACCTATCAGGCCAATGTATGTCCTTCAATTAAAAAAAATGATTTCGTCATTTGGGAGTTGTAGTTGCTGGGATTTATAGTTCACCTACAATCAAAGAACATTCTGAACTCCACCAATGATGGAATTGAACCAGTCTTGGGATACAGAACTCCCATGATCAACAGAAAACACTACAAGAGTTTGGTGGGCATTGACGTTGAGTTTGGGAGTTGTAGTTCACCTACATCCAGATATCACTGTGGATTCAAACAATGATGGATTTGGACCAAACTCTACACGAATACTCAATATGCCCAAAAGTGAACACTGGTGGAGTTTGGAGAAAATAGAATCTTGACATTTGGGAGTTGTAGTTGCTGGGATTTATAGTTCACCTACAATCACAGAGCATTCTGAACCCCACCCATGACAGAATTGGGCCAAACCTTCCACACAGAATGCCCATGTGGGCCACATTCCAAGGGTGAGGCAGAAGCGAGGAGAGATTTAAAGGCACCACACGCCTTTTTTCCCCACTAGCTATAAGGAAAGGGCTATAAGGCTGTGATTTACATACTGCTTTGTATCTCCTCTCTCTCTTTTTTTATGATTGGCTGCCTCCCTCCCAAGGGAGAGGGTGAAACCCCCTTTCACACTCCATCATTGCCAGGAGGCAAAAACCCGCAAAACAGCGAGTCCGCAAAAAGCGAACTGCGAAGTAGCAAGGGGACACTGTATGTTGCTTCCATGAATACTCAAGCTGTGCATCTTTTTGAAATGTAGTATCTTTCAGGCAGGGGCTCTATAAATAATTCACAGACCCTTTATAACTATGCAATTAATCAATGCCCACCCTCTCAGAATTTTCCCATTCATGTCTCAATGAAGACTTGAATTCAAAGATCTTCAATATAAATCTGCGACCATACTGCGCAAAGGTTGATTTGGCCGGGGTGGTCCATGCCTTGGTCACCTCTAGATTGGATTACTGTAATGCGCTCTACGTGGGGCTGCCCTTGAAAACGGCTTGGAAATTCCAACTGGTCCAACGGGCGGCGGCTAGGATGTTAACGCTTTCCTCCCCAAAGACATTAGACTAGCATCCACGTTGGCTGTCTTTAGGAAGAACTTGAAGACCTGGCTATTCAGATGTGCCTTTCCAGAATAAGATAACCTCCAGCACAACGTCCCAGAAGCACTTTATTAGAGCTTAAGACTCTCTGCACATTGCACTTGCCCAGAATCCCAACATATCACCTCTCACACCAGCACTTTTTTAACCTGTACCCTTCATTGGCCCGGCCCTGGTTTTATTGCGTAATAGTGTAATGTTTTGTTGTTGTTATTGCTTATGTTTTTAATTTGCTTGCATTGTATTGTTATTGTCTGTTGTTGTTGTTTGAGGCCTTGGCCTTTGTAAGCCGCATCGAGTCCTTCGGGAGATGCTAGCGGGGTACAAATAAAGTTTAATAATAATAATAATAATAATAATAATACACGCAGAGAGAGGTCAACCCTCCTGTTTAAGGAGCTCCATTGGCTGCCATTTACCTACCGAGCCCAATTCAAGGTGCAGGTGCTTACCTACAAAGCCCTAAATGGTTTGGGACCTGCCTACCTGCATGACCGCATTTCCGTCTATGAACCCACGCGCTCACTCCGTTCATCCGGAGAGGCCCTGCTCGCGATCCCACCTGCGTCGCAGGCGCGTTTGGTGGGGACGAGGGACAGGGCCTTCTCTGTGATTGCCCCCGACTTTGGAACACCCTCCCCAAAGACATTAGACTAGCACCCACGTTGGCAGTCTTTAGGAAGAGCTTGAAGACTTGGCTATTCCGATGTGCCTTTCCGGAATAGGAAAACCCCAGCACTATGTCCCAGAAGCACTTTAAGACTCTCTGCACATTGCACTTGCCCAGAAATCCAACATACCACCTGTCACACCCAGCACTTTTTAATCTGTACCCATCACTGGCCTGGCCCTGGTTTTACTGCGTAACGGTGTAATGTTTTGTTATTGCTTTATGATTTTAATTTGTTTTGAATTGTATTGTTGTTGTTATGCTGTTGTTGTGTTGAGGCCTTGGCCTTTGTAAGCTGCATCGAGTCCTTTGGGAGATGCTAGCGGGGTACAAATAAAGTTTAATAATAATAATAATAATAATAATAATAATAATAATAATAATAATAAAAACTGGTTGTACAAAATCAATGAATTTAAAAAGATATCCTAGTCATGTATCCCAAAAAGAACTGGGTATTTTCACAAGCTGCATTTGTGAAATTTTACAATCAGCGTTGTTCAGGTGATATGGTACTTGACTTAATCCATCACTGTTGATTGGAAGATCATGTAGTGAGGAGGCTGTCCAAGTCCTGAACCGGTGCTTGGCCGCTGTGACGGACTGGATGAGGGACAACAGATTGAAACTAAATCCAGACAAGACAGAGGTACTCCTGGTCAGTCGAAAGGCCAAACAGGGTATAGGGTTACAGCCTGTGCTTGATGAGGTTACACTTCCCCTGAAGGCACAGGTTCGCAGTCTGGGAGTGATCCTGGACTCATCGCTGAGCCTGGAGCCCCAGGTTTCAGTGGTGGTCAGGGGAGCTTTTGCACAATTAAAACTTGTGCGCCAGCTGCGCCCGTACCTTGGGAAGTCTGACTTGGCCACGGTGGTCCACGCTTTGGTTACATCCCGTTTAGACTACTGCAATGCTCTCTACGTGGGGTTGCCTCTGAAGACTCGGCAGCCAGACTACTAACAGGTGCTGGGTACAGGGAGCACACCACTCCGCTGTTACACCAGCTCCACTGGCTGCCAATTAGCTTCCGAGCACAATTCAAAGTGCTGGTGTTAACCTATAAAGCCCTAAACGACTCCGGCCCTGTTTACCTCTCCGAACGTATTCTCCCCTATGAACCATCAAGATTATTAAGATCGTCTGGAGAGGCCCTGCTCTCGGTCCCACCGGCCTCGCAAGCGCGTCTGGTGGGGACGAGGGACAGGGCCTTCTCGGTGGTGGCCCCTCGACTCTGGAACTCTCTCCCACTGGAGATCAGAACCGCCCCTTCTATCCTGACATTTAGGAAACAGGTGAAGACTTGGTTATGGAGACAGGCATTCGACGAGTGAGCCAACACCCTGAGATATGGATGGAGGATGATGAGCAACGATTTTAGTCTGACGACTGACCATTATAGTTATTGATTGTAATTGCTGTTTTAATGTTTTACTGTAATATGTATTATGATGTTTTATTGATTGTATGTGATATTATGGTTAGAAACCGGTCTGAGTCCCTCAAGAGAGGTGAGAAGGCCGGTATACAAAACTTTTAAATAAATAATAAATAAATAAACATTGGTAGTATTTCTTACAAAATTATTATGCTTTGTGTGATTTTAAGAAAAGAGTAAGCAAATAGAAGGCATGCAGAGGTTGCTGAACTCCCAACTCCTACCAAAAAAGATGTGCAGACCAATATGATTTGTGTCTGGGCATTGCTGCGTTTGGTGGTAGATTTGTCCACAGCTGCATAGTATACGTTTGCGTATACATTGCTCCCTCACTTTTTCTTTATGTCTTTGAAATGCTTCCCGTTATAAATCTGACGTTAAATCACAACCAATTTTCTTTTGCAGTGGTGAAATTTCAACAAAGGTCTGTGTTCCCTGTTCACTTCAGTGGCTCCATGATAACTCACTGGTGGAACTCAGACCTTGAGTTTAACATATTCCTGAAAAAGGGCACAGAAAGAAAGGTAATGATTACTTCAAAAAAAAATCTGGGTATTTAGTAGCTCTAGACTCATCTCGTTCTGACTTTAGGATTGGTTATGAGATGAAATACTGTATGCACTCGAGTATAATCCAAGCTTTTCCGCCTAGAACTATGCTCACAAAAATAAATACACAGCACTAAGTCCTCACACGTCCCTTCAGCTGACAGAAGCACAGCTGATTGTATGTATTTCAGTTCCCCAAACATTTGAGTTCAAGTAGTTCTGTGAACGAGGGATGACTTTAGTCCCAGCAGTGAGGGGAAGAAGGCAAAGTCTAAGCAAACAAACAAAAACAATACAGTTATTATCTCTAAATATGAAGTCAGCTGACATAGCCAAACAGCTACAAGACACTGGTACGCACTGGTCCCATTTATTTTCTGTGTGAGAGGCCCACTTGCTTAACCAGAAGCTTGGCAAAGCATCCTCTCAGAGCAACGTAGGCTTCCGTGCTCTCTGATGCTGTATAAGACAAGACATGAGATCTTATTAGTCAGTCTCTTTCCAGTTCCAAACCCATTGTACTCCTTTTGTTTTCTTTTATTTTCAGCCCCTGCTGGTTGGTTCAGCTGTTTTATCCCTGCGAGATGTCATTCAGTCTGAGCTACTGATGGTCAATTGTGACTTGCCTGTGAAAGAAGGGGGTGTCCCAGCACAACTGGGCCCTTTAAAGGTACATAGCTTGCTTTTGTGTCAATTTAAGTATTATTGCTCCTTATAATTCAATCCTTAGGTATGGTATCTTCATTTTTAGTATTTTTTAAATTGGTGATTTTTCATTTTTATGGGGACCATGTGCCTAACGTAAATACACAAATGTCCTATTGCTATGAACTTCAGCCAAAGTATCAATTCAATTAATCATGAGACTACTCAATTAATTCGTATAGTATACAAGCATGGGGAACAAATATGATGGGACCATTTACAATGGTGTAACAAACATAATATTCATGTTTTCCAAATAATTAGTCAGATCTTCCAAAAGTTGTGTGGACAAACTTTAACATATCCAAAATAGTCCCATGTGAGTTCAAGATGAGGTAAAAAGTCTTGGGAATATTACGATTCCCGGGTGTTTATCGTCCTTGTTTCAGGAGGAGTATCCCTTCTTCAGGTTTCTTTCAATTGAGTATACTCATGATTAATTGAATTGATACTTTTGCTGAAGTTTATAGCAACAGGACATTTGTGTATTTACATTGTACTTATAGATATCTGTGTAGTTGGAGACCATGTACCTAACCCAGGTATGGGCAAACTTCAGCCCTCTGGGTGTTCTGGACTGTTGAGATTAACTTCACAATTCAGCAGCAGATCAGTTGCACAACTTCAGTGCTTTCCAGTAGCTTCTTCCTGCACAGTATTTTCAGTCAACTGCTCCCACAGCCTGCAGTCACTCTGGAACCTTTTACAGACACTTGAGCACATGCCCGGCCATTGTCAGTTTTACCATTGTCTTTCCCCCGGTCTAGATGATATTAGAAACGCACCACAGCATACAGTTATATCTTGTCTTAGCAGACAGGTTCTTTAATTACATATAGCCTTCGACGAACAACATCACAGCACAAGGAGAAATATACACTCTACATGACTTCCTTATATACAATTCTATACAATTACACATAGCAATCTCTGATTGGTTCCCAACTCATTAACTTAACTCAGACCCAGGATTACATCATTCACAATCACCTGGACTAGGCCAGAACACATTCCCCAAATGAAGTTCTAAATACAGTTAATGCATGACTCAGCATTTCCAATAGAAGCCTATTAGCGGTGCATGACTCAGCTATATTACATTACAATACGTTGTAAAACCTGACAGCCTAGTGGCTGTTAGGAATTGTGAGAGTTGAAGCCCAAAATACCTAGAGGGCCGAAGTTTGCCCATTCCTGCTGTAGGGTGTCTGCCATGGATTGCACCACTGTGGTAGATAAATGCTTGCAAGAAGTATCATTCTGCTTGCAGCTGTCATTCACAGAAGGTTGTCCATCTGTTATTAATCTTGTCACTGAGTTTTTATCCAGCTTGCATCGCAGAAGTTATTGAACAACAAATCTGAGATTGGGCAAAGGTGAAAGGGTGTTTTCAGTGCTGGACATCATATTCACAAAACTTGTATCTAAATCCAAAGCCTACTTCTGACAAAACAGAATAAATTGCAGCCTTCCAGATGTTACTGCATCCCAACTTCCATTAGCTCAAGTCATGATGCCTGATGATGAGGAATGTAGGAGTTGTAGTCCAGCATCTGGAGAAGGGCCACATAAAATGATATGTCAGACCACATTTGTGTCATGGGCCTTAAGTTTGACACATGTGACTTAGAGCAACTCCAATTAATTGCATGGGGTTTTCTTAGGCAAGGAATACTATGTCAGGTTTAATTTAGATATGTATGTGTGTTTTAAATGTGTTTCTATGTAATTTCAAGATGGATTCTACTGTGCGTTAGAAATGCTATGCTGAATGTTTATTACTGAGGCTGTGACTATGTATCCTTGAAAGAAATGAGATTATGTATTCTTCTGCTGAGAACAGAAGGGAGTATTTTGTCTCAGCAGAGTGAAGAGAGATAAGCAGGTGTGCAGAGAGAGTGTTTTGTTTTCCACTAGTTCCTGATTGTAGCTTGCTGTGTTAAGACGTGTCTTATATGTACTTAGTAAAACTTAGTTTCTTTTGTAACTGAAAGTCTACAGAGTCCTGATTTTTACATTACAGTGTCTGTTGATCTAGCAATCCTTCTGCTGTGCACCCCCCATACTCTGACAGTAGGGTTATGGGCCCAGCACGCTTCCCACACTCTGACATACTGTACCTTTTTTGCTAGTTCCTTCCTTCACCTGAAATATAACCTTCTGCATCGGTTTTTGTTGGCAGCCTCCCATCCAAGTACTGACCAGATCTCACCCTACTTAAATTCCAAGATCAAACAGGATTTGGTGCCCTTTACATGATATTTCTAAGATTTAGCTTACTATCGCACATTATAGATTCTTTAAAAAACTACAGCGACTCAGACAAAGTAATTATGCTTCTTAATTGTCAAGATTTTAAACTGCTGCCTTTCAGTGGCAGGATTCCTGAATGAAGTCTGTAAACCGAATGTGTAACAAATGTGAAGTTCCCTTTTCTATGATTTGTACTGTATTTTATACCTCTTTGCTATGTATATGCCAATAAAGGCTTATTGGATTGGATTGGTACATGATATTTCTAATTTTATGTGACAGGTGTCATTGGAACTGGCTGCTGACAACAAAGACTTCTCTGCCACCAATACCAGGGCAGTGAACGTGGCTTCACAAGCTCCAGTTTACTCTGTTCGGAGCCCTGGGGTCAAGTTCCAGAATGCTGACAAGAGCCCCAGATCTGCTGAAAGTCCTCATCTCCTGAAGCAAAGTAGTTGCCAGTTCCTAAAGAGAACTCAGGAGACATCGGAAAAGCCCAGCGTCGAATCAAGCCAGTATTTAGAGCCCAGGCCCATGTCCCGTAACCTCCTGGCCCAGATTGTTGCCTCTGAAGAGGAAGGCTTGCTGCTGCATGTCCTGCTAATGGTCCCAGAGGGTCAGGTCTTTGTCCCTCGAGAGGCTGGACTCCTTGGCTCTTGCAATGTGTATTTGAACTGCAAACTCTTCAACACCAAAGAAGCAACAAGGTCGGCTGTCATCTGGGGCACCACCCAACCTGCCTTCCATTTTTCTCAGGCAAGTTGCGCATTTTCTGTCCGATGGTGTTGGAACACTGTCACTAGGTCAGCCACAGGGCATAGACCTAGGCCATTGCTTGCAAAATTCAGAATAGCATAACACAGAAGAGTGGAAAGCATCTAAATCAGGCAGGGGCAAACTTAGGCCCTCCAGGGGATTGGACTTTGACTTCCACAATTCCTGACAGCCATTCAGCTGTTAGGAATTGTGGGCATTGAAGTTCAAACCCTTGGAGGGCTGAAGTTTGCCCAGGCCTGATCTATTTATTTTATTTATTTCGCGCATTTCTACCCCGTCCTTCTCAACCCCCGAGGGGGGACTCAGGGCGGCTTACAAAGGCACAATTCAATGCCAGCATAAACATAACAATGGATAAAACATGTAAACAGCAATTATAACAATTAAGACAATCAGTATATACATCAAAATCTACAGCAAAGCCTTTGATAATACATCTACAGCAACTTTGTAGATGTATTATTCTATACATTCAGTTACTCACTTAAAGTTTTAAAAAGTTGTATTTTCTATAATAAGGAGAACTCTCAGGGTTTTTAAAAAATCAAACTATGGTTAAAAGTTATAAAGAGTCTTGCAATAATAGGAAGATTGATCGATGAATCATAACATCATCTTTCAGTGACTTTCAGTGACTACAGCCGTAAAAAAGGTTTACGGACTTGGATTTGGTGAACACTGACCACAAGATGTTTTATTGCTGCTAGTATATTGTCTGATGGTTTTAATTAGTTATAACTGTGATATTATGTGGTAAATTTGTGTATTGTATAGTGTATTGTATGTTGTAATTGTTAGGCATTGAATTGTGCCTTTTGTAAGCCGCCCTGAGTCCCCCCTAGGGGGTTGAGAAGGGCGGGGTAAAAGCACTCCAAATAAATAATAAAATAAATTTCTTTCTGTGTTCTAGGGGCATTTCTCCTGACGTTTTGCCTGCATCTATGGCAAGCATCCTCAGAGGTTGTGAGGTCCGCCGCCTCCGCCTCCGCGCCGCTCCGGAGTTTGGGGCTCATCTCTCGCTGGTGGCTGCTCGTGGTCCAGCCCAGGGACGTCGGAGGCATCGGGAGAGATGAGCCCCAAACTCCGGAGCGGCGCGGAGGCGGAGGCGGCGGACCTCACAACCTCTGAGGATGCTTGCCATAGATGCAGGCGAAACGTCAGGAGAAATGCCTCTAGAACATGGCTCTATAGCCCGAAAAAACACACAAGAACCTAGTGATTCCAGCCATGAAAGCCTTCGACAATACAATAAATAAATCTGTTTCCAATCTTCTACCACTTGCTAAGGCCAGCCAGAAAGGCAGCATTGAATCAATGGGATTTACATACATGTTGATGAACCATTGAGTACAATGAACTATTGAGTACCATTGCAGGTAGGGCCAAAATCTGGCTACTCCTTGGATATTCATTAAAAGTTGCTAAGCTTCGTTCTTGTGGGTTTTTTCGGGCTATATGGCCATGTTCTAGAGGCATTTCTCCTGACGTTCGCCTGCATCAATTCCAACAGACCTCACTACTCTGAGGATGCTTGCCATAGATGCAGGCGAAACGTCAGGAGAAATGCCTCTAGAACATGGCTCTATAGCCCGAAAAAACCCACAAGAACTGAGTGATTCCAGCCATGAAAGCCTTCGACAATACATAGTTGCTAAGCTTGTTTTAAAACTATTCCAGGAGAGGTTTCCGTCTGTTTTTAAATGTTCTTTTTTTTGTAGAGTTAATCTTTATAATAATAATGTAATATAATAATAATAAAACTTTATCCCACCCTATCTCCCCGTGAGGACTCAGGGTAGTTTCCAACAAACAAAGGCAAACATTGAATGCAAATACCAAAAGACAGTAACCAGAAAATTTTAAAATGTTTGTATCTGTTTATACATTATATCCAAAGACCTAATGAATTGAGAGGTGATAGATAAGCTTTTTAAATAGATTTAAAATAAACACATTTGAAAATATTTATTTATTATTTATTTATTTCACACATTTCTACCCCGCCCTTCTCAACCCCCGAGGGGGGACTCAGGGCGGCTTACAAAAGGCACAATTCGATGCCTACACAATAATACAGATAGACATATATAAACAGCAATTAAAACAGTTATAACAGTTAAAACAATCAATTGTATATCACAATCAATAAAACCAATTTCATACTCAACGTTCGCCAACTCAAAGTCCATAAATTCATTCCACGTTGTCCATTCCTATCGGTCGTCGTTGTCCTTTATTTATCTGCCAGATTGCCCAAACGCCTGGTCCCAAATCCATGTTTTTAATTTCCTTCTAAAGGAAAGGAGGGATGTCGATGATCTGATTTCCCCGGGGAGTGAATTCCACAGGTGAGGGGCCACCACTGAGAAGGCCCTGCTCCTCGTCCCCGCCAATCTCACTTGTGATAAAGGTGGGGCTGAGAAAAGGGTCTCCCCAGAAGATCTTAAATTCTGAGGTGGGACGTAGAGGGAGATCCTGGGCCGGAACCGTATAGGGTTTTGTAGGTCTAAACCAGCACTTTGAATTGTTCTTGGAACTGGATCGGCAGCCAGTGGAGCTGACACAACAGGGGGGTGGTATGCTCCCTGTATGACGCTCCCGTGAGTAATCTGGCTGCCTCCCGCTGGACTAGTTGAAGTTTCCGAACAGTCTTCAAAGGCAACCCCACGTAGAGTGCGTTGCAGTAATCTATTCGGGATCTAACAAGAGCGTGGACCACTGTGGCCAGATCCGACTTCCCAAGGTACGGGCACAGTAAATGCAATCATGATATTGCATTATAAATGTAATTTGTGGGATTTAGGGGTACAGCATCCCTGTGAAAGTGAGAAAAGCATTAATATAGGTGCACCGTGGAACACCTTTGGGCATTTCTAGATCCTCCAGCTCAATTCTATAGCCAGGTTCTCATGGAAGATCTAGAAGTACCTAGAGTTGATGGATTTTTCCACATGTATAGAGAGCAGCAGCGGAGGGTGTGTGGCAAATGCAGTAACCGGCAGATAATCAAATCTGCAAATGCTTAACCTGCAAATGTGGAGGTACAACTATAGTAAGGAGCAAAGCAAAACTGCTTTGTTGGCTCTGTTGGCTCTTATCTATCCTAAGGGCCTGTGGTTAATCCTGGGTTTGCTGTTTCTCTGTGGCCATCCTTGTTTCTGAAACTGCTGTGCTGACCTTCTGGCCATATCTCTAGGTAATGCCTATTTCCTTGACTTCCAAATGTCTGGAGCGGCTGAAGAATAATGTGATGGTCATCGAGGCCTGGAATAAGGTGCACAGCCCTGGAGGAGACAGGCTGCTGGGACTAGTGAAGCTGCCGCTGCATCAGTTCTACATTTCATTCAAGTAAAAGGCTTTCCTTTGTTTCTTTATTCATCTGGCAGATATTTGCTTTGCACTTCTTCTTTCCATCTTCAATCAGTTTCCTGGCATCAGTGTGACCATGATCTATTGTTGCAGGTAGGGCTAAAGCTCCACACATTTAGCTACATGCCTCTCCCACTACACTTGTTAGCTGCTAAACCCAGCAGTTGGAGTTGTGATGATGATGATAATGATAATAATAATAATAATACATAAACACATACACTTTTGAATAGGGTCTGCAACCATTGTTCCCTGTTACACTATTCCGTTCTGTTGCAATGACCTCCTGTCCCTTGGATCAAAGATATTCAGACTTTAGGAGGAGCCTGAAAATGTGGCTGTTCCAGTGTGCCTTCCCGGAATAAGGAAATAATTCCCAGCAAAATGTCCTCAGAATATACTTTACCTATTAGTTGGATTGCACTCCCCTCACTTCTTTTAAAACCCTCCTACCAGATGTATCCTACCTTGTTCATGCCCAATATTTATTTTTAATTTTAAACTATTACGTTTGGCCTGGCCATAGGTTTTTAAATCTTTGTGTGTTATTGTTTATATGTGATTTATACTAATTGTATTGTTTTTGTTTATTGCTTTCTTGTTTTATTGATGTGTTGTTGGGCTTGGCCTCATGTAAGCCGCTCCGAGTCCCTTGGGGAGATGGTGTCGGGGTATAAATAAAGTTTTATTGTCATTTATTATTATTATTATTATTATTATTATTATTATTATTATTATTATTATATGCAAGCTTGGTTTCTCAAAGTATCTGCACTTTAGGCCATGCTCCCTGCTGTTACTCAGGAGCTATCATCTGTCATATTTTCCTGAATATAAGCCTCTTTACACAGGCTTTTCCCAGTGTAGCTGGGAGGAAAACCCACAAAACAGTGAGTCTGCCATAAGCAAACCACAAAATAGTAAGGGAACACTGTACTTCTTCATTCTTTTTGCACACTGCTGGAGATTTTTATGGCGTCGTTAAATTAGTCTCCCTACATAAAGCGGTACCTAAATTTCCTACTTGACAGATGCAACTGTCTTTGGGGCTGCAAAGATCGACAGCAAGCTAGACAAATGGTCGGGAGCTTACTTGAACTCATGACCTTTTGGTTAGTCGTGATTTTGATTTTAATGCAGCTGACTCCCAGCCAGCTGCATCACAACCCGGTCTAGAATCTCAAGAACCATTCTCTAAGAACCATCATGCCTGCCCTAGAGTCTCAAGAACTATTCCCCTTGGTCTTTGTCCTTCATTTCATTGCCATGTGCATGGATTTGCCTTCCCTGCAAAACAAGAACTGTCTGGGCTATTGGTTCTTGACATTGTGACTTTAATACATATAACAATGCAAGTGCTACCTTGTCTTTTTCCCTTGCCTCTGCAGAGATCCTGCAATTTCCAGCCTGCTGCTTCAGGCTCAGTATCCGGTCTTAGCTGTGGATGGCCCCATGCCGTTGGTTGATGTCTTTTCGGGGAAGAAAAACGGGAGCCTGGTGGTCATCCTGGCCATGGGCTCTGCTGACCAGATTGCATCCCTGCAGAGGCTAAAGAGCGAAGAAGGGATGGGGCCTGCTGTGGTTCTGCGCCCGCCACATGCCCTGGACCCTCTCGCTGCACCTTTTCCAAAGGTAGTCTAAGATAACTTTGTTTTGGGACTGGGTTGCGGATATAAGTCTTCACTGATTTTATTCTCAAAAGAAACCATGAGAAATTAAGGTAATTTTTCACTGCAATTAAGTCTTTGAAAACTGCGGTTTTTGAAAAGTGTTCACAATCTGGGGCTGCCTAGCATACTTTTTTTTCTTCAATAGTTTCTGAACATATTTTTCTGAACATATTTTGTGAATATTTTTTTGTGAATAATTCCTGGGAATGTTTTTATTATTATTTTTTGAAATAATTTGTTGAACATTTTTGTGACTATTACTGCAAATATTACGAATTCTATAACTCTTTTGTGGGTATTTTAATGAATATTTCTGACAATATTTTTATGATTATTTCAATGAATATTTTTGTATATATTTTATGAATATTTCTGTGAATATGCCTGTATCCTTTTTGTGATTATTTCAATGAATATTTGTGCAAATATTTTATTAATACTTTTTGAAATAATTTATTAAACGGTTTTTGAATATTTCTGCAAATGTTTAATTGATAGTTACCATATATACTCGAGTATAAACCGACCCGACTATAAGCCGAGGCACCTAATTTTACCACAAAAAACTGGGAAAACATATTGACCCAAGTATAAGCCGAGGGTGGGAAATGCAGCCACTACTGGTAAATTTCAAAATAAAAATAGATACCAATAAAATTACATTAATTGAGGAATCAGGAGGTGAAATGTTTTTGAATATTTACATAAAACTGTAATTTGAGATAAGACTGCCCAACTCTGATTAAAGCATTATTCTAACCTTCTTCAAAGTGAATGTACTTACGTATCCTTCCAACAATAATAAAGGGAGTAAAATAATAAATGTAATAATAATAATAATAATAATAATAATAATAATAATAATAAAGTAAAATAATGGAAATGCAATAATAACAGTAATAATAGAGTAAAATAATAAATGTAATAATAAAGTAATAAATGCAGTAATGAAACATTTAGAGTAGCTCCTATCTAGCTATGATCTTTCACTTTTAGGGAATCAGATCCTGTCTGAACCTGGAAGGTTAGCTGGGCCAGCCCTGGTTAGTTCTTGGATAGGAGTTTGCCATCAAATACAAATGTCATGGGCTATATTTCAGAAAAAAAGAATAGGGAGAACTACCTCTGAGCTCTATACGGTTCTGGCCCAGCTTACTTGTCTGAACACATCCACCCCTACATCCCACCTTGTAATCTAAGATCATCCGGGGAGGCCCTGCTCTTGCTCCCGTCAACAGAACAAATGCGTCTGGCAGAGATGAGAGACAGGGCCTTCTTGGCTGTGGCTCCCCGCCTATGGAACACTCTCCCAAATGAGGTAAGATCTGCTCCCTCCCTCCTGGCTTTTAGAAAAAAATTAAAATTATGGTTCTGGGACCAGGCCTTTGGACAGTAGATGTATGTAGCTTTTTAGAGGGACATTGACTGGAACGGCGATTGGACTGACAAGACTGTTTTATTGTTTTAATGCTTGTTGCTGTATGGTTTTAATTGTGATTTATGTTTAATTGTGGTTTTACTATTGTAATTGTTTGTATTGGCATTGTATCGGTGCCCAACGTAAGGCATTGAATCCTGCCATTATTTACGTGTAAACCACTTTGAGTCCCCCCAGGGGTGAGAAAGGCGGTATATAAATACTGGAAATAAATAAATAAATATTCCTGGACTAAGAAAACCATAAAGGCAATAGGTGAAGTTCAACATGGACAAATGCAAGATACTCCACTTAGGCAGAAAAAATGAAATGCAAAAATACAGAATGTGGGACAATGCCTGGCTCGAAAGCAGGACGTGTGTAAAAGATCTTGGAGTCCTCGTCGACAACAAGTTAAACATGAGCCAGGAATGTCATGTGGCAACAAAAAAAGCCAATGGGATTTTGGCCTGCATCAATAGGAGCATAGTGTCTAGATCTAGGGAAGTCATGCTACCCATGCTCTATTCTGCCTTGGTTAGACCACACCTGGAATATTGTGTCCAATTCTGGGCACTGCAATTGAAGGGAGATGTTGACAAGTTGGAATGTGTCCAGAGGAGGGCCATCCAGTCCAACCCCATTCTGCCAAGAAGCAGGAATATTGCATTCAAAGCACCCCTGACAGATGGCCATCCAGCCTCTGTTTAAAAGCTTCCAAAGAAGGAGCCTCCACCACACTCCGGGGCAGAGAGTTCCACTGCTGAACGGCTCTCACAGTCAGGAAATTCTTCCTCATGTTCAGATGGAATCTCCTTCTCTTGTAGTTTGAAGCCATTGTTCCATTGCGTCCTAGTCTCCAGGAAGCAGAAAACAAGCTTGCTCCCTCCTCCCTGTGGCTTCCTCTCACATATGTATACATGGCTATCATGATCCTCTCAGCCTTCTCTTCTTCAGGCTAAACATGCCCAGCTCCTTAAGCCGCTCCTCATAGGGCTTGTTCTCCAGACCCTTGATCATTTTAGTCGCCCTCCTCTGGACACATTCCAGCTTGTCAACATCTCTCTTGAATTGTGGTGCCCAGAATTGGACACAATATTCCAGGTGTGGTCTAACCAGGGCAGAATAGAGGGGTAGCATTACTTCCCTAGATCTAGACACTAGGCTCCTATTGATGCAGGCCAAAATCCCATTGGCTTTTTTTGCCGCCACATCACATTCCTGGCTCATGTTTAACTTCCTGTCCACGAGGACTCCAAGATCTTTTTCACACGTACTGCTCTCGAGCCAGGCATTGTCCCCCATTCTGTCTCTTTGCATTTCGTTTTTTCTGCCTAAGTGGAGTTTCTTGCATTTGTCCCCGTTGAACGTCATTTTGTTAGTTTTGGCCCATCATCTCTCTAACCTGTCAAGATCGTTTTGAATCTTGCTCTTGTCCTCCGGAGGCAAAGGCAAACCCCTCTAGGGCAAATTTTGTCAAGAAAACCCTGTGACGGGTTCGTCTTAAGGTCATCATTAGTCAGAAATTATTTAAAGGCACAAAACATAATGTAATACTTCTATTAATTGGTTTTTCAATGTGTGGTGTAATGTATTGCTGCTCCCTCTCCCAGAACCTTTGAAATTGAACAATCTGAATACACTTGGAGAAGCTTGATGTGCTTTGAGTGTTGGACTAGGATTCTGGGAGGCCATGGTTTGAATCCCTAATACAACTAACCCTAATACAACCCTAATACAACCAATGGACTACCACGCGGTAGCCTTGAAAAAGTCATCGAATCATATAGTTGGAAGAGTCCAACCCCCTTCTACCAGGCAGGAAAATACCATCAAAGCCCTCCCAAAAGATAGTCATCCAGCCTCTGTTTAAATTACTTCAGAGAAGGTGACTTCACCAAAGTCCAAGGCAGCATATTCCACTGTCGAGCAGATCTTGCCATTAGTAAGATCTTTCTAATGTTCAGGTGGCATCTCTTTTCCTGCAACTTGGATCCATTGCCCATTGTTGTCTCTAGAGTAGCAAAAAACAAGTCTGCCCCCTCCTCAACGTGACCTGCTTTCAACATTTAAACATGTCAATCATTCACTCTCTCTCAACCTTCTCTTCTCCAAGCTAAACATCCCCAGCTCCCTAAGCTGCTCCTCAGAGGGATTCATGGTGTCTAGACCTTGGATCAATTGATCACCCTTCTCTGGTCATCTTCCAGCTTGTGAATATACTTCTTGAACTGTGGTGCCCAGAACTGAACACAGTATTATTCCAGAGGTTGTTTTTAAGCCAAGCAGAATAGAGGGACACTCTCTCAGCTGCAGAAGTAGGCAGTAGTGATCCTCCTCAGAAGAAGTCATGCCTATCAAGCATTAGGATATGGATTGCAACAAGCTGGAGTTGACCTGAAGGCACACATCAACAACAACACATTACTCTTGGTGACTTTCCCCCACAGGTGGTTGTCCTTTTTCATGGGGATTCCATTTTGTCTTATTTAGCGGCCAGACCCAGCAAAGGAAGGCTTGATGGAGCACGTCTTTGAGATCCACCTTGAGAGCATTAAAGGGCTCACTCCCCTCCAGTCCACCGTCTGGGGAGAGGCCGACTGCTACGTGCAATACCACTTCCCAGTCCAAGAGTCAGAATCATCGGATGTTTTACGTGGAGCAGAGTTCAGCGAAAGCGGTAGGCTTGGTTTCTGAAAATACAGGTTGAGCATCCCTAGTCTGGCATTCTGAAATATTCCAAAATTGTTCAGATAGCTGGCTGAGATAAGGACACCTTTCCTTTCTGGCAGTTCAGTACTCAAGCTTTGTTTCATGCAAAATATTATTTAAAATGTTATATAACATTACCTTCGGGCTATGTGTACAAGGAATGGGTTGTTGTACATTTTTTCGGGCAATATGGCCATGTTCTAGAGGCATTCCCTCCCGACATTTCACCTGCATCTATGGCAAGCATCCTCAGAGGTAGTGTGGTCTGTTGGAACTAAGAAAATGGGTTTATATATCTGTGGAATGACCAGGGTGGGACAAAGGACTCTTGTCTGCTGGAGCTAGGTGTGAATGTTTCACAATGACCACCTTGATTAGCATTTGATGGCCTGGCAGTGCCTGGGGCAATCTTTTGTTGAGAGGTGATTATATGTGTGTGGTGGAGGCTCCTTCTTTGGAAGCTTTTAAGCAGAGGCTGGATGGCCATTTGTCAGGGGTGGTTTGAATGCAGTATTCCTGCTTCTTGGCAGGGGGTTGGACTGGATGGCCCATGAGGTCTCTTCCAACTCTTTGATTCTATGATTCTATGTCCCAGATTGTTTCTTCTCTGTTGTTGTGCTGTTGTAATTTTAGAGTTTTTGAATACTGGTAGCCAGATTTTGTTCATTTTCATGGTTTCCTCCTTTCTGTTGAAATTGTCCAGGCACTGCCAGGCCATCAAATGCTAATCAAGGTGGTCAGTTGAAACGTTCACACCTAGCTCCAACAGGCAAGAGTCCTTTGTCCCACCCTGTGTGGTTTTGTGAATGCAATGTAATGTATTTTTTTTTTGCTTTTTAAGTCCCTTCCGTTGTGTTTTTCAGTGTTTTTATGAATGATGGTCACTTGTTGACCTGATAGGTGTATTGTGTCCAAATTTCGTGTCAATTTGTCCAGTTGTTTTTTAGTTATGTTAATCCCACAAACGAACATTACATTTTTATTTATATAGATTGAAGAAGAACAAAAATCAGTGGTCTTGATGGTTCTAGACAGCCTACTAAGAAATATTTCTGGCACAGAAATGTCAAGCTGTGTGCTTCCAGCCAAATATGAGTGTCCAAACAACAGAATAAGACAATGACTGCACTTGATGGCTCATATTGTGAGACAAAACCCATGTCATATGAGCCCTTTATTACTTGACTTCCTTTTCTGATACAGGTTTTGCAATAAAACCTTTCCGCTCAGCCACTACCTTGTGCGTCCTGGACCCCACTTTCAGCGAGGAGCGTCATCACGCCTTGCTGGTCCCTGCTGACATCCCTGTCCAGCGGCTTCTGCTCAGCGCTTTCTCTGCTCAGGGCATAGCAGGAGGAGGAGGAGGAATTCAGTTTGAAGTCTGGTGCAGGTATGTTGTGCCTTCATGCCATTTCTGAATTTATCACAGGGCTTTCTCGGCAAAACTTCTTCGGAAGGGAGACTCCACAGTCCAGAAGCAGCCGCCAATCTCCTGTCCTCAATTTCACAATTGGGGAGAGCAAGCCCTTGGAAGTCTATATATAGTACTGTCACCCTCACACATGAAAAATGGATTGCTGTGAATTTTTCAGACTGTATTTGCCATACAGGTTGAAAAACTCACAGCAACCCAGTGATTGCAGCTATGAAAACATTCAACAGTATGCTGTATTATTATCATTATCATTATTATTATTATTATTATTATTATTATTATTACTATTTATTTATATTTTATTTATTTACAGCTTTTATATTCCACCCTTCTCACCCTCCAGGGGACTCAGGGCGGATTACAGTGTATACATATATGGCAAACATTCAATGCCAATTTTTGACATACAAACATATACAGACATACACAGAGGCTTTATTCTGGCCGCCAGGGGAGCTGTTGCTTTCATTGTCCATCTGCGACGCTGATGAAGCACTTCCGCATTCCCTGCTGTGATTCACCTGCTGTGATTCACCTGCTGTGCTAAAGCCGGCTAGAAAAATCGTTTTATAGTTCACCTTATCTCTACCAGCTAGCATCATATCATGACCTTTATGGCCAATGAGAAATGGATCTCTGCCTTTCCCGTTTTCTGCTCTCTAAATAAGGGCATTTCAGGCAAAAAAAGCATCCATGCACTGGCAAAGCAAATGGGAACGGAAAAAAGGGTATTAATATTTATCAGATTATACGCATCAAGATGATATCACTGGAAGGAGAATTAAATGCACGAATGGGCATCCTAAGGAGAACTGGGAGTCAAAATGGAAAGAACTTGAAGCCAGAGTAAAAAGGAAAGGAAAAGATAAGGAATTGAATCAGACAATCTTCTTGATTGGACATATAAAATAATACAAAGAGAAGAGGTACAACTGTTCCCAGAGGGAAGGAGGAAGAGGGAAGGGGAAAAATTGGATATTAGGCATGTTTAGGTCCAGTTGGAAACCTCATAATTCAGATTAAATTCGGATCAAATCCCTTTTTGAAGCGATTTCGAAGCGATTTCTGAACCCGGAAGTATCCTTGCCCTTTCGAAGCTACTGTCGCCATCTTTATTCCGATTCAGGAAGTGAGTCGGAAATGAGTCAGCGTTTGGAGGCAAGCAGCAGCTTGCATGCTGGGATGCTTGCCTCCAGCCAATGAGGGGAAATCGTGTGGGGAGGGACAGGATTTCAGCAGGGCAGTCATTGCACTTTAAAAAGGGATGTGCGTGCTTCAGGCGCTCATTGCGAGCCGGGGACACGAATGGGAAGGGAGCTTGGGTGGAAAAGGTGCCACTGCTTGAGAAGGGAACAACAGGGTTAGAGAAGGGAACAAAGTTTTTTGGAAGGGAACAACAGGGGAGAACGGCAGCACATAAGGGCAGCTGGGAGAACTGTTCTCTTGCCTGCCACTGCCAATTTCCTTTTTAGAAGCAGTGAATTAAACTTTCAAGACACCTGATTCCCTTTGAATTACACTTTGGATTTGGGGATACCAGAAAGTCCCTTTCCTCCTCATTCTTTGCTTGCTGAAGCTGTGAATACAAGTTTGAATATACCCTTAATTCCCCTTTAAGTTACACTTTGGATTTGGGGATACCAGAAAGTCCCTTTCCTCCTCATTCTTTGCTTGCCGAAGTTGTGAATGCAAGTTTGAATATACCCTTAATTTTGTGTATTGCACAATTCCGCCCGCCATTAACGAAGCAATTCGAAAATGTAGGAAAATTCTGGGTTTTTTTTCCGGAAAAATTCGGAAATCATTTCCAGATCGAATTGTTAGCGCCCCCTACATCCAAAACGGGTTTTGAACCATTTTTTTCCCTTGATCAAACAAGCCTATTGGATATGTATAAGTAGCAGATAAGCAGAAATGTAAAGGATAGGAAAACAAATCATTAGAAAGGCATGAGAATATATGAGAATTGTTTTTGTAATGGTGACTGTGACATTTTCATTTACTTACATAACCATATATATGTGTGTGTGTATAGATAGATAGATAGAGGTAAAGGTTTCCTCTGACATTAAGTCTAGTCACATCTAACTCTGGAGGTTGGTGCTCCATTTCTAAACCGAAGAGCCAGTGTTGTCCATAGACACCTCCAAGGTCATGTGGCCAGCATGACTGCATGGAGCGCTGTTACCTTCCCACGGAAGCTGTACCTATTGATCTCACATTTGCATGTTCTCGAACTGCTAAGTCTGCAGAAGCTGGACCTAACAGTAGGAGCTCACCGTGCTCCCCAGAGTCGAACAACCAACCTTTTGGTCAGCAAGTTCAGCAGCTCACCAGTTTAACCTGCTGCGTCACCAGGGGTTCCCTTTAGATAGATAGATAGATAGATAGATAGATAGATAGATAGATAGATAGATAGATAGACAGACAGACAGACAGACAGACAGATAGATGAAAATGTGCACTGGCCACTATTTAGTCCAATTGTATAATTCAACAATTTCTGCACAAGGGTGTTTAGAGAAAAAACCCCCACAAATGTCCAATTTCTCTCTTACAGTATATGCCTACAGTTACCTTGGTGTATACCTGGCTGAGTGTTAAACTTCTTTGCATTAAGAAGATATTTTCCCAACACAACGAAGGGATGAGCAGTTCTTTTCCCCCTGACACTTTGGCCCCATCTCTTGTGCAGGTATTACTACCCTAATGTCCGAGACCAGATGGTTGCCAGAGGGACCCTGCCATTGTCACGCCTGTGTGCCCTGGTGACCCTGCAGCACCGGGACGCGGTCGGGATCCAGACCTTCAGTCTGCCCTTGATCCCCAGAACCGATACTTTGGGCGAACACCATCCCCGGTCGTCAGGTAATTTAGAAGACAATGGTGGAGGTTTCTTATGAGCATGAAGCAATGGTGTTCAAGCCCCAGAACTAACTGAACAGAAAGCCAAACGTGTGTGTGCTTTTCTCTCCACCCCATCACCATGCCTTTCTCCAGGTTTCCTTGATGTAAGCATCAGGTACAGACGTTCCCTGAAAGTATCGAAAGGCATCCTAGCAGCTCAAACTGTTTCTATTTCTGTTCAAATACACTCTGCAGCTGGTTTGCAGGCAGCAGCAAGGTAAGAAGGAATCAATATATTATTTATTTAATTAATTAATATACCACTTTTCTCTACTCATGGGGCGGGGGGGCTCAAAGCGGTTCACAACGAAGAAGATGGCAAAACCCAATGCCTCACAAAATATAAAATACAACACATAACTAAAATACCATATAACAATAGATTAAAACCAGTAGACTATGAAACATCAAACATAGGCAATATAAAACTTAAACCATTGGGCATTGCAAAGATATTTTTTTGTTGTTGTCACCATCTAGTGACCAGCAAATGACTAATAGGAGGTTTTTTTACCCCTTGGTGCAAATAGGCTTTGTTGATCAAGAGCAGTGGTTTTTATTTATTTATTTATTTATTTACTTATTTGACTTGTATACCGCCACTCCCAATTTGGTTCGGAGCAGTTTACAGCACTAGATTAAAACAATACAACCAACTTTAAAATACAATAAAAACGAGAACCGACATAGTCCCGAGTTATTCACCCATCGAAAGCTTGTCGGAAAAGAAAGGTCTTAGAGGCTTTCCGAAAAGCAAGTAGCTCTTGGATGGTTCGGGTTTCAACTGGCAAGGCATTCCATAAATAAGGGGCCACAATCGAGAAGGCTCTCTGCCTAGTCGAGGACAGATGATAAGTCCAGATGTTGGGGACTTCAAGCAAATTTTGGTCTTCGGACCGAAGTAATCTCTGGGGTTGGTAGGGGGATAAGCGGGCCCTCAGGTACGCTGGCCCCAGACCATATAAGGCCTTAAAGGTTAATACCAGCACCTTGAAAGTAATCCGGTACTCAATCGGAAGCCAGTGCAGCTGTTGTAGAATTGGGGTGATACGACACCTCGCCGGCATCTCAGCGAAGAAGACAAGTCGCCGCATTTTGCACCAGCTTCAGTTTCCGGATCACTGACAAAGGAAGGCCAATGTAGAAGGCGTTACAGTAGTCAAGCCTTGAGATGACCGCCTGGATCACCGTAGCCAGGTCGTTCCTAGATAGGAAGGGAGCCAGTCGCCTAGCCTGACGTAGGTGGAAAAATGCAGATCTGCTCACAGCAGAGACCTGGGCCTCCATTGTGAGCAGAGGGTCCAATAAGACACCAAGGCTTTTTACAGAAGATGACGGACGTAGTGTCTCGCCATCCAGGGTAGGCAGCTGGATCTCCCTCCCACCCGGACGGCCCAGCCAAAGGATCTCCGTCTTCGCTGGGTTCACCCTCAACCTGCTGGCACGCAACCATCCAGTAACGGCCTCAAGGCACTGATGGAAATTTTCGGGTACAGAGTCTGGCCGGCCCTCCATCCTCAGAATGAGCTGAGTGTCATCAGCGTACTGGTGGCACTCAAGCCCAAAGCTCCGCACCAGTCGGGCAAGCGGTCGCATATAGATGTTAAATAATAGAGGAGAGAGAATAGCTCCCTGCGGGACCCCACAAGTTAGCGGAGATCTCTCGGAAACCATCCCTCCCCTCACCACACGCTGTCCCCGATTCTGGAGGAAGGAGGACACCCATTTAAGGGGTATCCCCCTAACCCCAGTCATGGCTAGGCGGTGGGTCAATAGATTGTGATCGACCGTATCAAATGCTGCTGTGAGGTCCAATAACACAAGCAGCTGATCCGCCTTGATCCATCTGGCAGCGGAGCTGATCTGTGATGGCAACTAGCACAGTCTCCGTCCCGTGCCCCCTACGGAAGGTTCTCAACCTGTGGGTTCCCAGATGTTTTGGCCTTCAACTCCCAGAAATCCTAGCAGCTGGTAAACTGGTTCGGATTTCTGAGAGTTGTAGGCCAAAATACCTCGGGGCCTGTGGGTTGAACTACTGATCAAGAGAGTATACAGTGCAGTTAGGCTCCAGCAGGTTTGTGAAGCTCTTGGAGAAAAGGTTCCACAGCCGAGGGGCTACCACCGAGAAGGCCCTGTCTCTCGTCTCCACCAAATGTACTTGTGACAAAGGTGGTAACGAGAGCAGGGCTTCCTCAGACGATCTTAAGGTCCTAGATAGATCTTTTTCCTTACATATAAATCCCATGTTCATTCCCTGGCATATTGTGACAGTAGTGATGAGAAAGTGTCTTACTAAGGCATCAGAATAAAAATCACTGAACAAATGTTGTGATCTAGTGAATAATACTTTCTTTACTTATTTTATTTTTGATATGATAACATAAACCCTACCCAAATGCAAATACTATACAACATTTGTTTGTGACTGCTACTTATATGTGCTGTTGGCATGTTTTCTTCCTTCTACTAAGAGCTTTGGCCGAAAAGAACCCTTTGCTACAATACAGCGCCGAGGTCGGTGTCAATACCTATATCTCAGTCCATATCCCCTTCCTCCCGGAGACGGAGAGGCGCAACACACGGCCCGTGGCACGCACTTTTTGCCCCGAATTTGAGCACCACATGGAGTTCCCTTGCAATCTTGTGGTCCAGAGGAGCAGCGGAGAAGCCTGTTGCCTGGGGGAACTCCTCCAGCATTCGGAAATCGTGTTCTCCGTCTTCCACCAGAACCTGAATTCAGGTAGGAAGGATGAGTAAGAATCAGTCTGGGTTGTTCTGGTCAAATAAAACAGTCACTGTCACACTGAGCTGAATGATGAGGGGAAAAGGCAGAAAAGACCAACAATGGGAAAGAAGTTTCTGAGAATAGAGTCTTCTCCAGCTCTAATCAAGGCAGTGTGTTATGTGGTTCTGATATCATAAAACCATCCCATAATGAGGCCCTTTCTCCTGGAACTGCTTTCTCCTATCCACCTTTTAAACCACATGTGTCAAATTCAAGGCCCGTGGGTTGAATTGGGTCCTCCATGTCATTTTATGTAACCCTCCAGATGCTAGACTACATATAACTATGAGGGTTGAATGAAAAGTAAGGCCTCCACCTTCGTAACTCCTCAACAGATGGCAGTCCTGGTATGCGGCAGTATTGGCTTGTTCAGTAGACTCTCCTCTTCAGTCCCATTTTGGCAGAAAGCTTTAGCATTGAACAGTTGTATTTTTGAAGTGCAAAGTATGGAACCCTGTGCAGACGGTTGGTCAATGCGACTTAAGCAACATGCAGTCATTGAATTCTTGACAGCAGAAGATGTCACTTCAACAGAGATTCATCAGAGAATGCAAGCTGTTTATGGTGATTGTGTTGATGTGAGTACTATGTGTCGTTGGGCGAGTAAGTTTAAAGATGTTGAGATGAGAACATCTAACTTGTGTTACAAACAAAGAGTTGGACGTCCTGTGACAGCAACCACCAAGTTTCACTAGGAAAAGGTTGACAGATTGATTGAGGATGATCGTCGTATCACTCAGAGAGAAATTTCAAGCATAATCAGCATTTCACAAGAACGTGTGGGTCACATTATTGCTTTGCTTGGCTATTGGAAGATCTGTGTGCGATGGGTTGCGGAAACAGAGTGTCGACTTCTTCCGTGATAGCTTCAGAAAACTTTTTCATTGTTGGCAGAAATGTATCCAATTGTCTGGTGATTATGTGGAAAAGTGAATAGTGGTAATTAAAGAGCACATTCCAAGGACTATTTCTGCATTTGATATATTAAAATATTCCCATCCAAACTCCAAACTGGGAGTTGTAGGCCAAAACACCTGGGGACCCACAGGTTGAGAACCACTGCTCTAGAACATGGCCATATAGCCCAAAAAAAACCTACAACAACCCAGTGATTCCGGCCATGAAAGCCTTTGACAATACAATAATAATAATAATAATAATAATAATAATCTTTACTTATACCCCACCACCATCTCCCCGAAGTGGACTCAGGGCAGCTAACATGAGGCCAAGCCCAAAGATACAATACAGCAAAATAAAGTGCAAAATCCAACAAAAATTACATCACATTAAAGTACATACAGTGGCAAAATAAAGTAAACAAAGCAAAATAGCATAATAGAAAATTGAACACAATGGGCAGGCCAAATGGACAAGATAAAATGATAAAACCCTGGATGAGGTCAGAGTAGAAAAACTGTATTTGAGAGGAGCCCAAAAAGGACGAACAGTACAGTTAGGCTTCCAATTTAGGAAAGTGCATCATAAGGACAACACTAGATGAAACAGACAGAAATGGGATGAATGGTCATTCTCTAAAGGGCACAGCAGAAGAGCCAAGTTTTCAGATCTTTCTTAAAGGCTGCTAGGCTGGGAGCTTGCCTAATCTCACGAGGTACTGAGTTCCAAAGTCGGGGGGCCACAGTGGAGAAGGCTTTATCTCTCATTCCCACAAGTCGTGCCTGATAGAGGAAGGGGCGAAAGGAGGACAACCACAGACCTAAGGCCTAATTTTCTTGTGATCCCCATCCAGTCTCCTTGAGTTCCCCAGGTGGCAACACTCTCTCTGCGGGGTTTTCCAAATTCTAAAATACAGAAATACATCTACTAAGGCAGTATTTATTTATCGTGTCATCAGCAACCAGACATTTGTATTACATTTTTAACAAAAACAAACAGACAAAACATAGAACTTGTAAGCTTGGTAGTTGATTAAATGTCCTTTGACCAGTATCTGGCCACTTGGAGTGCCTCTGGTGTTGCTGCAAGGAGGTCCTCCATTGTGCATGTGGCAGGGCTCAGGTTGCATTGCAGCAGATGGTCTGTAGTTTGCTCTTCTCCACACTCGCATGTCGAGGATTCCACTTTGTAGCCCCATTTCTTAAGGTTGGCTCTGCATCTCGTGGTGCCAGAACGCAGTCTGTTCAGCGCCTTCCAAGTCGCCCAGTCCTCTGTGTGCCCAGGGGGGAGTCTGTCATTTGGTATCAGCCATTGGTTGAGATTCTGGGTTTGAGCCTGCCAGTTTTGGACTCTCGCTTGCTGAGGTGTTCCAGCGAGTGCCTCTGTAGATCTTAGAAAACTATTTCTTGATTTAAGTCGTTGACGTGCTGGCTGATACCCAAGCAAGGGATGGGCTGGAGATGTCACTGCCTTGGTCCTTTTGCTATTGGATGCTACTTCCTGGCGGATGTCAGGTGGTGCGATACCGGCTAGACAGTGTAGTTTTCTCCAGTGGTGTAGGGCGCAGACACCCCGTGATAATGTGGCATGTCTCATTCAGAGCCACATCCACTGTTTTAGTGTGGTGAGATGTGTTCCACACCGGGCATGCATACTCAGCAGCAAAGTAGCATAGCACAAGAGCAGATGTCTTCACTGTGTCTGGTTGTGATCCCCAGGTTGTGCCAGTCAGCTTTCGTATGATATTGTTTCTAGCACCCACTTTTTGCTTGATGTTCAGGCAGTGCTTCTTGTAGGTCAGAGCACGGTCCAGAGTGACTCCCAGGTATTTGGGTGTGCTGCAATGCTCCCGTGGGATTCCTTCCCAGGTGATCCCCAGAGCTCGGGATGCTTCTCTGTTCTTGAGATGAAAAGCACATGTCTGTGTTTTAGATGGATTAGGGATCAGCTGGTTTTCCCTGTAATAGGCAGTAAGAGCACCTAGAGCTAAGGCAGTGAAAGCATGAAGTTACAATATGCTAGTATTTCTAGTCTCAGATTTTTTTGTTTTCTGTTTTTAATGTTTATGTCGTGTTTGCTTTGACCTACCAGCTTCATCTGCAGTCAAAGCTCCGGCTTTAAGAGACTACCTTTTAGGAACCGTCAAGGTGGCAACCAAAGATCTGTTGGTCAGAAGATCAGGTAATAGATTCAGTTATCTCTGTCTTTGATTTATCATATAGATCAGGCATGGGCAATCTTGGGTCCTCCAGGTGTTTTGGACTTCAACTCCCACAATTCCTAACAGCCGGTAGGCTGTTAGGAATTGTGGGAGTTGAAGTCCAAAACACCTGGAGGACCCAAGATTGCCCATGCCTGATATTGATGTATCCAATGAATATCAGAGAGACACAATCCTCTCTTTTTCTCTCCCTGTGTGTCTCCATTCTGTGTTGAAGGTATTAGAGGCTGGTACCCAGTCAATCTCCCAGAAGATGTGGTGCCTTCAGATAGTAGAAACTTCTTGGAAACCATCGTTGGAGGCCTGGAGCTCTCTGTCACCTTTGCGCATCCTGGGGACCGAGAACGTGTTCTGGATGCTGCAGCGCTCTTGGGCTGGAATTGGGAGGGATTCTCCAGTGAGAAACTCCAGGAAGACAGTGAGGATGAATGCCAGTCTGCTCCAAAACCAGCCACAGTGACAGTTTCTATCCCAAGGCTGTGGCTGCCACTGCAATGTGTCTTACTAGCTGGGCAAACACACTTGAATAGAAGCATCTACTGCTACCTTCGCTACAAGCTGTACGACCAAGAAGCCACCTGGACGTCGCTAAGGAGGCCGAAATGTACTGAAGACCAGAAACACGTGACGGTGACTTTCAAGAAAAGCCATCAAATGGACCTTCAACCGAGCCAGGCTTTGTGGTGGTACTTCAGAGAGGAGAGGCTGGAGCTCCAGGTGTGGAGAGCCTTTGGGAACGAGAGCCATGTGGAGAGACCGCTGGACACTGACCGCCTGATTGGGTCGGCCTTTGTGGATCTCTCTGCGCTTGGAGGGAGTGCGAGAAGGAAGAGAACAGTTAGTGGTACGTTCCTTAGATGCCTAAAAAGCAGTCAGCCGGGGGCTACCTTGGGGCCTAATTGAATGGTAGATCTTCACTCTTCATTCTCTTGCATTCTCCCCTTCCCAAACTGAATAATCTCTTAATGGTTATGATTCTCTTAGTCATACCGATATACTGTATATACTCGAGTATAAGCCTAGTTTTTCAGCCCCCTTTTTAGGCTGAAAATTTATTTATTTATTTCGTGTACTTCTACCCCGCCCTTCTCAACCCCCGAGGGGGGATTCAGGGCGGCTTACAAACAGGCACAATTCGATGCCTACACAATAATACAAAAACGTATAAAAACAGCAATTAAACAGATTATAACAATTAAAACAATTAAAACAATCAATATATATCACAATCAATAAACCAATCTCATGCTCAGCATTCGCCAACTCAGAGTCCATACTTCATTCCACATTGTCTATTCCTATCCGTCGTTGTAGTCCTTTATTTGTCTGCCAGATTGCCCAAACGCCTGGTCCCAAATCCAAGTTTTTAATTCCTTCTAAAGGAAAGGAGGGATGTTGCTGATCTAATTTCCCCGGGGAGTGAATTCCATAGATGAGGGGCCACCACCGAGAAGGCCCTGCTCCTTGTCCCCGCCAATCTCACTTGTGATAGAGGCTGAGAGCAGGGCCTCCCCAGGAGATCTTAAACACCGAGGTGGGACGTAGCGGGAGATCCGTTCGGACAGATACGCCGGGCCGGAACCGTATAGGGTTTTGTAGGTCAAAACCAGCACTTTGAATTGTGCTCAGAATTGGATCGGCAGCCAGTGGAGCTGACATAGCAGAGGGGTGGTATGCTCCCTGTATGACGCTCCGGTGAGTACTCTGGCTGCCTCCTGCTGGACTAATTTAAGTTTCTGAACAGTCTTCAAAGGCAACCCCACGTAGAGTGCGTTGCAGTAATCTAATCGGGATGTAACAGTAGCGTGGACCACTGTGGCCAGATCCCCTAGGTTTATACTCGAGTCAAAGTTTTTTATTATTTTACTCTGTTATTAGTATTTTTTACATTTTTATTTTTTATATTATTTTATATTATTTATAATAATATAATAATAACAGTTTATTTATACCCCGCTACCATCTTCCCAAGGGACTCGGTGCGGCTTACATGAGGCCGAGCCCAAATACAACAATAGAGACAATAAACAACAATACAAGCAGTTAAAAATAAAAAAAAACATAAGCAGTAAAATATACAACATTATCACTAAGACAACACACAATTAAAAACAGTGGGAAGGCCAAATGTAAAGTTAAAATTGGAAATAATATTGGGACCTGGACGAAAGGAGATAGGGTGTTTGTGAAGGGTGTACTAGCAGACCTAAAGAAATGTAAAGTGCTTTGGAGGACAAAGTGCTATGAGATCATTATTCCGGGAAGGCACACTGGAACAGCCACGTCTTCAAGCTCCTCCTGAAGACTGCCAGAGTTGGGGCCTGTCTGATGTCTTTAGGGAGTGCGTTCCAGAGTCGAGGGGCCACCACCGAAAAGGCTCTCTCTCTCGTCCCCACCAATCGCGCCTGCGATACCGGTGGGATCGAGAGCAGGGCCTCTCTGGATGATTGAAGGGATTGTGTGGGTTCATATATGGAGATGCGGTCCATATAAAAATTATTTTATATTTTTATATTATTTTATTCTATTATTAGTATTTTTTATATTTACATTATTTTACTCTATTATTATTTTATTACATTTAATTTACTCTATTTATTATTACATTTATTGTTTTTTTTATTTTTTTTATTATATTATTTATATACATATTGTTGTTGTTCATTCGTTCAGTCGTCTCCGACTCGTGACCTCATGGACCAGCCCACGCCAGAGCTTCCTGTCACCACCCCCAGCTCCTTCAAGGTCAGTCCAGTCACTTCAAGGATGCCATCCATCCATCTTGCCCTTGGTCGGCCCCTCTTCCTTTTGCCTTCCACTTTCCCCAGCATAATTGTCTTCTCTAGGCTTTCCTGTCTCCTCATGATGTGGCCAAAGTACTTCAACTTTGTCTCTAGTATCTTTCCCTCCAGTGAGCAGTCGGGCCTTATTTCCTGGAGGATGGACTGGTTGGATCTTCTCGCAGTCCAAGGCACTCTCAGCACTTTCCTCCAACACCACAGCTCAAAAGCATCGATCTTCCTTCGCTCAGCCTTCCCTAAGGTCCAGCTCTCACATCCGTAGGTGACTACGAGGGAATACCATGGCTTTGACTAGGCGGATCTTTGTTGCCAGTCTGATGTCTCTACTCTTTACTATTTTATCGAGACTGGACATTGCTCTCCTCCCAAGAAGTAAGCATCTTCTGATTTCCTGGCCACAGTCTGCATCTGCAGTAATCTTTGCGCCTAGAAATACAAAGTCTGTCACAGCCTCCACATTTTCTCCCTCTATTTTCCAGTTGTCAATCATTCTTGTTGCCATAATCTTGGTTTTTTTTGATGTTTAGCTGCAACCCAGCTTTTGCGCTTTCTTCTTTCACCTTGATTAGAAGGCTCCTCAGCTCCTCCTCGCTTTCGGCCATCAGAGTGGTGTCATCTGCATATCTGAGGTTGTTAATGTTTCTTCCAGCAATTTTCACCCCAGCTTTGCATTCATCCAGCCCCGCACATCGCATGATGTGTTCTGCATACAAGTTAAATATATATTGGCTGTTAGGAATTGTGGGAGTTGAAGACCAAAACACCTGGAGGGCCAAAGATGGCCCATATTTCTTTTATAACAATCTGCAGCTTTTTCCCTGTGTTTTCTGAGCCATGCTTCTCCCATTATTACAGGTGTCTTCCCCTTGTTCCGGCGCAATGCTTCAAACCTGTGGGGAGCTGCTGTGCGGGTTCACATTGCGCTGGCTTCCACTCCCTCCCATGGGTTTGAGCCTGGTGAAGAGGGAAGCCACAGCAGCAGCAGTGAAGGTGAAGAAAACAAAGAGCCACCTGAGCAAAATGTCCAGGTCCCTCTGGAACCAAATCCTGCAGCTGCAGACATTCTTACCGAGAAATCATCTGAATCATCTCCTCCTGCTGTGGACCATGAGAAGACATTTGCTGTTAGCATCCTTGTGGAAAGAGCCATGCACTTGAGCTTAAAAGGTAAGTGAAATATTTGAGTTTCTGCATTAAAAAATATTCTGCATTACAAAAAAATACTTTTTTCTTTCATTTGATACGCTAAACAAAATAGATTATTATTATTATTATTATTTCACGTATTTCTACTCCGCCCTTCTCAACCCCCGAGGGGGGACTCAGGGCGGCTTACAAAAGGCACAATTCGATGCCTACACAATAATACAGATAAACATATATAAACAGCAATTAAAACAGTTATAACAATTAAACAATCAATTATATATCACAATCAATAAAACCAATCTCATGCTCAACGTTCGCCAGCTCAGAGTCCATAAATTCATTCCACATTGTCCATTCCTATCAGTCGTCGTTGTCCTTTATTTATCTGCCAGATTGCCCAAACGCCTGGTCCCAAATCCATGTTTTTAATTTCCTTCTAAAGGAAAGGAGGGATGTTGATGATCTAGATTTTCCCGGGGAGTGAATTCCACAGGTGAGGGGCCACCACCAAGAAGGCCCTGCTCCTTGTCCCCGCCAATCTCACTTGTGATAAAGGTGGGGCCGAGAGCAGGGCCTCCCCAGAGGATCTCAAACTCCGAGGTGGGACGTAGAGGGAGATGCGTTCGGACAAATACGCTGGGCCGGAACCGTATAGGGTTTTGTAGGTCAAAACCAGCACTTTGAATTGTGCTCGGAACTGGATCGGCAGCCAGTGGAGCTGACATAACAGAGGGGTGGTATGCTCCCTGTATGACGCTCCGGTGAGTAATCTGGCTGCCGCCCGCTGGACTAATTGAAGTTTCTGAACAGTCTTCAAAGGCAACCCCACGTAGAGTGTGTTGCAGTAATGAATTCCACTGCTGAACGGCTCTCACACTCAGGAAGTTCTTCCTCATGTTCAGATGGAATCTCCTCTCTTGTAGTTTGAAGCCATTGTTCCATTGCGTCCTAGTCTCCATCTGAACATGAGGAAGAACTTCCTGACTGTGAGAGCCGTTCAGCAGTGGAACTCTCTGCCCCGGAGTGTGGTGGAGGCCCCTTCTTTGGAAGCTTTTAAACAGAGGCTGGATGGCCATCTGTCAGGGGTGATTTGAATGCAATATTCCTGCTTCTTGGCAGAGGGGTTGGACTGGATGGCCCATGAGGTCTCTTCCAACTCTTTGATTCTATGATTCTATCTAGAAAGAAAACAAGCTTGCTCCCTCCTCCTCCTCCCTGTGGCTTCCTCTCACATATTGATACATGGCTCTCATCATATCTCCTCTCAGCCTTCTCTTCTTCAGGCTAAACATGCCCAGCTCCTTAAGCCGCTCCTCATAGGGCTTGTTCTCCAGACCCTTGATCATTTTAGTCGCCTCCTCTGGACACATTCCAGCTTGTCAATATCTCCCTTCAATTGTGGTGCCCAGAATTGGACACAATATTCCAGGTGTGGTCTAACCAAAGCAGAATAGAGGGGTAGCATGACTTCCCTAGATCTAGACACTATGCTCCTATTGATGCAGGCCAAAATCCCATTGGCTTTTTTTGCTGCCACATCACATTGTTGGCTCATGTTGTTGTCCACAAGGACTCCAAGATCTTTTTCACACGTACTGCTCTCGAGCCAGGCATCCCCCATTCTGTATCTTTGCATTTCGTTTTTCCTGCCAAAGTGGAGTATCTTGCATTTGTCACTGTTGAACTTCATTTTGTTAGTTTTGGCCCATCTCTCTAATCTGTCAAGATCATTTTGAATCCTGCTCCTGTCCTCTGGAGTATTGGCTATCCCTCCCAATTTGGTGTCGTTTAATTTTCGAGCACCTCTCCCAAAAACGGGCACCTTTCCTACTGTTTCCACCAAGGAGTTGTTGATAAATAGTGGTTAAAGCTTTCTGTGTATTTCTATGCCTCTTTCTGAGATTGTATACTGTTGTGTGGACAGGTCTTCATCATTTTGAACTCCTGTATCTTATCTATTCCTATAAATTTCTCACTGATCAAGCATGGGCAAACTTCAGCCCTCCGGGTGTTTTGGACTTCAACTCCCACAATTCCTCACAGCCAGTAGGCTGTGAGGAATTGTGGGAGTTGAAGTGCAAAACACCCGGAGGGCTGAAGTTTGCTCATACTTGAGCTACATGCACGTCTATCACTACAACATGACTTCATTCCTCATTGATTTATGTTTTACAGGGAGCCCTCTCACTGAGCGTGGAGTGACCTCCCCCAGCAGCTACGTATCCTTTGTCGCTGCCGGTGTCGACAACCCCATTGCGACAGATGTCATTGAAAATACCGAGTCCCCCGTTTGGGGTTTCCAGCAGCAGACCAGGTAGGCAAGAAGGGCTTTGTAATGGACAAGATGGCATGGTCATGGTCATCATTGTTTTCACAAATGAGACTGGCGGGGACGAGGGACGAGGCCTTCTCGGTGGTGGCCCCCCGCCTGTGGAATTCACTCTCTGGGGAAATTAGATCATTGTCATCCCTCCTCTCTTTAGAAGAAAATTAAAAACATGGATATGGGACCAGGCCTTTGGGTAATCTGGCAGACTGACAAGGACAATGACGACAAAAGCTTTGGAAATGGACTATGATAAGCTGAATGGACTCACTAATTACAGAACTCGGAGAAACGATGGCCACCAGGCTGGCTTTTTTATGTTAGATTTTAATGTTTTAATTATTTATAATTACTGTTGCTTGTATTTTTACTGTATTGATTTGTAGGCATCAAATTTGTGCCGGTTGGAAGCCACCCTGAGTCCTCCCTAGGGGATTGAGAAGGGTGGGGTAAAAATACTCTAAATAAATAAATAAATCCATGTCCATTTGCATCATTAAGCTGTTCCATATTTGTTCGTAATACTGAGTTTATCTGGTTACAATGAGGTTCCAAAAGCTTCCTCGAAAAGCCAGGTTTTTACTCTTTTCTTAAAGGTCAGGAGGGAGGGGGCCAATCTAATATCCCCAAAAAGGGAGTGCCACAGCTGAGGAGCTACCACTAAGAAGGCCCTGTCCCTCATCCCCGCCAAGCACGCCTGTGAGGCAGGTGGGATTGAGAGTAGGGCCTCCCCAGATGATCTTAAATTCCTGGAAGGTTTGTAAGGGGAGACACGTTCAGATAGGTAACTTGGGCCAGAACCATTTAGGGCAGTGGTTCTCAACCTGTGGGTCCCCAGATGTTTTTGGCCTTCAACTCCCAGAAATCCCAACAGCTAGATTCTGTCTTGTCATGAAGATTGAATTCAGGCATTTATCTGGACTTACGTTACATGTTTAGCCTGGCTGTTAGGAATGGTGGGAGTTGAAGTCCAAAACACCTGGAGGGCCGAAGTCTGCCCATGCCCGATTTAGCCTGTGAATGTTCTGTGTCTTTCACTACAAAAAGTACAAAATTTAGCTTGCCAGAGATAGTCCAAACAAAGATAGCTCTTGTGCTTGTGAGAAGGAACATCCATTCCTTGTTTGGACCAGGTTCAAGGCAGAGGATTTCTGGGAGTTGCAGGCCAAAATACCTGGGGACCCACAGGTTGAGAACCACTGATTTAGGGCTTTATAAGCTAAAGCCAGCACTTTGAATTGTGCCCAGTAGCAAATTGGGAGCCAGTGGAGCTGGCGCAACAGCAGAGTTGTATACTCCCTGAGCGCCGCTCCCGTTAGTAGCCTGATTTCTGCCCGCTGGACCATTTGAAGCTTCTGAACAGTTTTCAAAGGAAACCCCACATAGAGCGCGTTGCAATAGTCTATACAGGATGTAACCAGAGTTGTGGCTTGGTGAGGCTCCAACCCTCTTTGGCAGAGAAGGCTAAAGACCCTGTAAAACTACAACTCCCACAATTCCAAAGCATTGAACTGTAGTGGTTAAAATGGTGTCAGACTGCATTGTGTAAAGATGCACCCTGCCTGGAGTTTGCAATAGAGAGACAACGGTCAAAATGAAATACAAGCCAGCTTGGTCTGCTTGCATCTTTTCCGTTTTATTCTGTATTTCTTTAATAATTAAATAAGAACTAGGTGTTGTAGGGTTTATTCCAGAGGAAAGAACTGTAAAAACCACCTTCGAGGATTCCTTGCCACGGAAATACCTATGGAACTCATTAGTCACAAATACAAACATGTAATACAACTCTCTGGCCTGACACTTTACACAGAGTTAACAGCAAAAGAATAGGACCCTACCCTAGATATCTTATGATAAAGCTTACTATAAAACTGGAGTCAAGAGAAAATACAAGAAAGAGAAACAGAGAAAAGGGGAAGACAGTGGGAGATAAAACACAGCTTGGCCTTGCTTATTTTCAGTCCAACTTCAGGACGAAGTAGTGATAAGAAGTGTATTTTTCAAGAAAACATCCTATTGTTTTTCAAGATCTGTGCACAAAAAAGGCCTCCCACTTTCCCCATTTGACACGTCCTTGCAATTGCAATAATGTTTTGTCTTCCTGTTTATGGTTTCTTTTCTTATTCTTGACAGGCTTTCCAACGAACTTCTTTTGGATTCCCAGCAAACTCTCGTCTTTAAAGTCTGGCATAAAGCAGGTATTCTGTAATCACAATACTAAAAACTTTAAGAAAAACTCTTTCAAAACTTGCAAACATTTTAAGGGGAAAAAAACCTGAATTAAGCAGAAGGGACTTTAAAAGCATTTTTTTTTTTACAATGCACGCGCAAAACCACATATATATATACACAAACACACATGTATACACACATATATGCATATATACACAAAAAACACATACACAGAAAGAGGAAAGTGAGAAGAAGGAAAAAAGAAAGGGAGAGAAGGAAGGAAGGAGAGAAGGGGGGAGAAAGAGGAGGAAAGAGAAGGAAAGAAAGAAAGGTAGAGAAGGAAGGAAGGAAGGAAGGAAGGAAGGAAGGAAGGAAGGAAGGAAGGAAGGAAGGAAGGAGAGAGAGAAAGGGAAAGAAGAAGGGAAAGAAGGAGGGAAGGAGAGAAAGAAGGAAAAAAGAAGGGTAGAGAAGGAAGGAGGGAGAGAAAGAGAAGAAAGGGAGAGAAGGAAAGAAGGAAAGGTAGAAAAGGAAGGAAGGAGAGAAGGAGGGAGAGAAAGAGGAGAAAAGAAAGAAGGGTAGAGAAGGAAGGAAGGAGAGAAGGAGGGAGAGAATGAAATAAAAAAGTGGAAAGAGGGAAGGAAGGAGAGAAGGAACGAAAGAGAGAAAGAGGGAGGGAAGGAAGGAAGGAAAGAGACAAGGAAGGATGGAACCAAAGAGCAAAGGAAGCGAGAAAAGAAACAGGTAGAGAAGGAAGAAAGAGGAGGGAAAGAAAAAGAGGGAAAGAAGGAAAGAGGGAGGGAGGGAGGGAAAGAAAGAAAGAAAAAGAGAGAGAGAGAGAGAAAAGGAGGGAAGGTTGGCCAAATCTCCTTCATTTTAGGCAGTTGGTGTTTGGCTTTTTAATCCTTTATTACTTTACACAAAAAATGCCCCTTTGGCAACAAGTTTCAGATTCTGTCTTGTCATGAAGATTGAATTCAGGCATTTATCTGGACTTACGTTACATGTTTAGCCTGGCTGTTAGGAATGGTGGGAGTTGAAGTCCAAAACACCTGGAGGGCCGAAGTCTGCCCATGCCCGATTTAGCCTGTGAATGTTCTGTGTCTTTCACTACAAAAAGTACAAAATTTAGCTTGCCAGAGATAGTCCAAACAAAGATAGCTCTTGTGCTTGTGAGAAGGAACATCCATTCCTTGTTTGGACCAGGTTCAAGGCAGAGGAGGGAAACCGAAATATTGTTTCGGAGGAAAAATGTGGCTGTTCCTTTCAGGGTCCTTGAATTCTCTAACACAATAAAACAGGCAAACATATGGAGGTGGAGGCAGTGCTAGAGGAAATATACAGGATGCAGGCAGTCCTGATTGTAAGGCTACGTTCAGAGAGCTGTTTTATGTCCGTTTCCACTTGGGGGCACTCATTCAAATGTTATGAAAAGATTTTTCAGACCAGTAACACTATGTAACACGATTTTTGTTCCTGGGTTATAAATGTAATTTCCAATTCTTATTCTTCTTCTTCTTCTCCTTCTTCTTCTTCTTCTTCTTCTTCTTCTTCTTCTTCTTCTTATTATTATTATTATTATTATTATTTGAAACACAACAAGATGAGTCCACAGCAGACAAGATCACTCTGCTGGCTGTTGTATGGATCACACATCGAACACTTCCCAAGTGTCTGACTGTGTGATGTATCGGATAATGCATGCAGATCCCAGTAAGGTGGCCTTCTGCAGCTGGCAGATGGTAATTTTGTTAGCACCGATTGTGTTTAAGTGCAGGCCAAGGTCTTTAGGCACTGCACCCAGTGTGCCGATCACCACTGGGACCACCTTGACTGGCTTGTGCCAGAGTCTTTGCAGTTCAATCTTTAAATCCTCATATTGTGTCAGCTTTTCCAGTTGTTTCTCTGCAATCCTGCTGTCACCTGGGATGCAACATTGACAATCCATACTTTGTTTTTTAACATGATTGTGAGGTCAGGAGTCTTGTACTCCAAAACTCTGTCTGTCTGAATTTGGAAGTTCCAAAGGAGTTTGACGTGCTCATTTTCTGTAACTTTTTCCAGCTTGTGATCCCACCAGTTTTTTGTCACAGGCAGATGGTCTTTGTGGTACAAGTTCCAATAGATCATCTGAGCAACGGTGTTATGCCGATGATCTATGGTTTCATCTGCTTCCTTGCAGAGTTTACATTTGGACTCTGTAGTCGACTTTTCAATTCTGGATTTGATGGCCTTTGTTCTAATGGCTTGTTCTTGGGCTGCCAGAAGTATTATTATTATTATTATTATTATTATTATTATTATTGTCGAAGGCTTTCATGGCTGGAATCACTGGGTTGTTGTAGTTTTTTTGAGACTATATGGCCATGTTCTAGAGGCATTTTCTCCTGACGTTTCATCTGCATCTATGGCAAGCATCCTCAGAGGTAGTGAGGTCTGTTGGAACTGGGAAAAAGAAAAATGCCTCTAGACCAGTGGTTCTCAACCTGGGGTCCCCAGATGTTTTTGGCCTTCAACTCCCAGAAATCCTAACAGCTGGTAAACTGGCTGGGATTTCTGGGAGTTGTAGGCCAAAAACATCTGGGGACCCAGGTTGAGAACCACTGTTCTAGAAGCATTCTCCAACCTATTATTATTATTATTATTATTATTATTATTATTATTAGGAGCATTTCTATCCCGTTCGGTGCCGAAAAATAAAAACAAAGCATAATATACATTTAGCATACATTAAAACAATTATAAATACATTAAAACAGTTCGCCGTTTGTACCCTTGGACATGTTTTATGAACTCTAATAAGTGAATTCCTGGCATCTGGCTATTGGACTGTATTCTTGCTCCTGACCTGGCTTTGTAATACTTGACTTGTCTACTTTACTTGGACTTGTGACTTTGGCTTGTGTTCCTTGCTACTCTAGCTGTGTGCTGCTATTCTGTTTTGTTGGCCAGACCTTGAAAAGACTCCAGCCTTATAAGTAAACATGCTCTTGTCTTGCCTCCCACTTTCCCTGCAGATGTTGAGCGTGTGATAGGATTCGCATCGGTGGATCTCTCCCCTCTCCTCTCCGGTTTCCAGCTGGTCTGCGGCTGGTACAACATCACGGACTTCAGCGGACAGTGCCAGGGGCAGATCAAAGTAGCGGTCTCCCCCCTTGAAAACATAACCCATCTCAAAAAAGAAAGACAGGAGAGAAACAAGATAAGAGCTTCAGGATCATCAGTATGTGTTTTTTTTCACATTTATTTCTCACGTGGATTTCTGAATTTCTAGTTGCTTGGTTGACTGAGTGGGCATTAAGTCTTGCCAAATGGCCGCCTAGGGCGATAGGCAGCTGTCAGAAGTGACAACTGTTTGCTCACATTGAGTTGTTTGCAAAGCTTTAAAAACTTGCTTCTTGGGAGTACAAGCACCAAAATCTGGCAAAGGGGTCACAGGAGTCATAGCTCCAGAAATAACTTTCTCCATCTCTGCTTCACTGAACATGATCTGGGTGAACACCAGGAATTTATGAAGTTCTCTTATAGATTCAACTCAGCTAACTGAGATCCTTTCATGGTTTTGTCATGGAATGCATCTTAGACCATTCATGCATAAGGCCCATGGTTGGTTGCCAGATTAGGAACTGGAGATAGCTACAGGGAACATACCACACCCCTGCAGAAATAGTTCCACTGGCTTCCAACAAGTTTCCAGGCTCAATTCAAGGTGGGAGGCCTTCCTCTCGGTCCCACCACCATCTCAACTAGGGTAATAATAATAATGATGATGATAATAATCTATATATATAAAAATGCTCTGTGCATAATGAGTACCTTAAAAACAAAAGAACCAATGAACGGAATCCCACTAAATTTGACAACAAAATGTCTCACAACACAAGGAGTGACCATCACTCAAAAAATTATGATTTTGTCATTTGGGAGTTGTAGTTGCTGGGATTTATAGTTCACCTACAATCAAAGAGCGTTCTCAACTCTATCAATGAACCAAATCGAACTTGTCACACAGAACTCCCATGACCAACAGAAAATACTGGAAGGGTTTGGTGGGCATTGGCCTTGAGTTTGGGAGTTGTAGTTCACCTACATCCAGAGAGCACTGTGGACTCAAACAATGATGGATCTGGACGAAACTTGACACAAGCACTCAATACGCCCAAATATGAACACAGATGGAGTTTGGGGGAAATAGGCCTTGACATTTGGGATTTGTAGTCACTGGGATTCACAGTTCACCTACAATCAAAGAGCATTCTGAACCTCACGAACAAGAGAATCGGGGCAACCTTCCCACACAGAACCCCCATGACCAACAGAAAACATTTAAGGCCATCCATTCCAACTTCCTTCACCAGGGCAAGAAAATGTAATCAAAGCCCTCGTGACAAAGAGCCATCTAGCCATAGATATAGATAGATAGATAGATAGATAGATAGATAGATAGATAGATAGATAGATAGATATTATCTTTCCTCTGAGTGGATCTTTACCTTTCCTTTTGTGCAGAACTCTTTGTTCGTAGTCCCTTCCATCTTGTATTTTTCTCTCAATTAGAACAAAATAGTTGAAAGAATTGGGCTGTTGTAGGTTTTTTCGGGCTACATGGCCATGGTCTAGAGGCATTCTCTCCTGACGTTTCGCCTGCATCTATGGCAAGCATCCTCAGAGGTAGTGAGGTCTGTTGGAACTAGGAAAAAGTGTTTATATATCTGTGGAATGACCAGGGTGGGACAAAGGACTCTTGTTTGCTGGAGCTAGGTGTGAATGTTTCAACAGGCCACCTTGATTAGCATACAATGGCCTGACTGTGCCTGGAGCAAACTTTTGTGATTAGATGTCCTTGTTTGTTTCCTCTCTGTTGTTGTGCTGTTGCAATTTTAGAGTTTTTTTAATACTGGTAGCCAGATTTTGTTCATTTTCATGGTTTCCTCCTTTCTGTTGAAATTGTCCACATGCTTGTGGATTTCAATGGCTTCTCTGTGTAGTCTGACATGGTGGTTGTGAGAGTGGTTCAGCATTTCTGTGTTCTCAAATAATAAAATGCTGTGTCCAGGTTGGTTCCTCAGGTGCTCTGCTATGGCTGACTTCTCCGGTTGAAGTAGTCTGCAGTGCCTTTCTTGTTCCTTGATTCGTGTTTGGACAATGCTGCGTTTGGTGGTCCCTGTGTAGTCTTGTCCACAGCTGCATGGTATACGGTAGACTCTTGCAGAAGTAAGAGGATCCGTCTTGTCCTTTGCTGAACGTAGCATTTGTTGGATTCTCTTGGTGGGTCTGGAGATAGTTTGTATGTTGTGTTTCCTCATCTGTTTCCCTCTGCGGTCAGTGGTTCCCTTGATGTATGGCAAGAACACTTTTCCTCTGGGTGGATCTTCGTCTTGACTCTCATGGCTTCTTCTCGGTGGTCTTGACACTCTTCTGATGTCTGAGGTGGAGTCTCCATTGGCCTGGAGAGCCCAGTTGAGGTGGTTCAGTTCATCTTGAAGGAGGTGGGGTTCGCAGATTCTTTTTGCACGGTCTGCCAAGGCTTTAATGGTGCTTCTTTTTTGAAAGTTGAATTAATGCATTGTTGGCAGATGATTGTAGAAATGCCCAGAACTGTCATAGCTCAGAGAATGTTTTAATTTCACAGTTTCTGCCTTTATTGTAACTGGATTCCAACAAGCATTTTTGCCTTCCAGGTGAGGGACCTGTATGCTGCATTTCCTGCATTCTCCTCTAGAAGTGCCACAGAGGTCTTATTCAGCACCCCCTTGAGAAGCACCGAGGTCCCAACGCACCAAGGGTAAGTAAGAAGAAAGGGAGCAGATGTAGGGTGGCTCTCACAGACCACTGAATTGCTGTCTGTTTAGCTTAGATATACTTACTTAATTACGTTGGCCGAGTAAGATAGTCTTCCAGGATGAGAATTCTTGTGAGTCTGTAGGTGGCTGTGGAGCCCTATTCTTGATCTGCATCTTCTGCAGTGAGGGCGTTGGGTTCCAGATGGAAGGCAGTCCCAGTCAGGGTTGGCTTGACGCGCCTTCCTCTTGGCACGTTTTTCTCTTTCACCCTCCATTCGTGCCTCTTCAAATTCTACAGCACTGCTGGTCACAGCTGACCTCCAGCTGGAGCGCTCAAGGGCCAGGGCTTCCCAGTTCTCAGTGTCTATGCCAGAGTTTTTAAGGTTGGCTTTGAGGCCATCTTTAAATCTCTTTTCCTGTCCATCAACGTTCCGTTTTCCGTTCTTGAGTTCGGAGTAGAGCAACTGCTTTGGGAGATGGTGGTCAGGCATTCAGACAACGTGGCTTTGAGTAGATCAATAGGTACCGCTCCGGTGGGAAGGGAACG